CAGGACATCTGAATTATTGGAGGACGATACCGTCATGGTGTCAAGAGCGGCCACAAGGTTTGATGGCAACTTCGGTGGCTTTTCTTCCAACAACGAGAAGGTTTGAAGAAAACTGTGTTTGAAGAAAACTGGTGGTTGTGTGTGTTTGTTGGGAGTGCGTCGATGTGTGCATGTTGCAGTTCATATTTAAGCCAGTCTAGGCTGCAAGGGTTTATCTTTTTCTCAAACCGGATCTGGAACCGGTAGGTACAGTACCGTACCGGATCTTGGAGCATGTATACCTGTTACATAATATTTGCCAAAAGGGCTTGAAAATGCTACCAAACCGGTACGTCCTACCGTACCAGAAACCGTAATCCCACCTGATCTTCATCTCCCCATCGTTCTCATGAAGGCAACCCATCACTAGAGTGATCTGGGTATTAAGACCGACCGTTCCGCGGAATATTCTCTTCAGGTCTGGTATATCGAACATGGACATGTAAGAGGGGAATCTGTAGAGACACATGTGTTGAGTTAAGCCAAAAAAATCTCGCAGCTTCATAGTGTACTTATTGGTGGAGTTACGGGCGGTTGAAGATATCACCCGTCGGTCAGTGAATTCTTTTCACTGCACATTAAGACCGAATGACGTCAGTCGTGCTCTAGTACTGAATCTACGTAGGATCCATACGTACGCACACTGCTATCGGAAGTGAAACTCCACGGTACTGCGGTACGCGCGTATCGGTTTCGCACCTCTATCCAGAAACGCTACCCGTAGAGGTGCTTCGCACCTCTATCGTCTATCGTCTCTTCGCACATGCATAAAAGCACCTCTATCGAAGACCTCTATCGACACTCCTTCCTCTATCGACACTCCTTCTTCCGTACTGCATCTATCGTTCGTCTACCGTCCAGGTTGCACTACGCTAAAGCTAGTGTAAAGATCTTCGAGTGTTTTTGAGTTTGAGAGAATGAAAAGTTATGAGAGGATTAGAAAGCTAATGAAAACTAATACGAGAGAGATCCACAATCAAAGTGATCGTAGATCTGAACTCCCGCGGGACGACTGTAGAGTGTGATAGAGTAGGTTTGCGGTAGCAAATCCTACTCACTCCACTGATCCAAAAACGGAACGCTTTGAAGATTCGTCCTAGCATTATCTAGTAAGCGTGGCAGTATCTCCACGCTGGCTAAAATATCAGAGCGATTTTCATCATCCCAACCTAGTATGACTATTGAGCGGTCATTGAGAACACCGTCTCAATAACTATTCACGAGAGCTCAGTCATCGAGTCGACTCAAACCTATCTAGGATACAGTCGCGATAAGGCTAAGACTGTGTATTGCATTCGAAGGGCAGACCATCTTGGCTTTCGACTGAAAGCTATGGTCTCCTGATCATTGCCTTGGCATCCTTTTTGTACTCCACAATGGGGGCTTTTGTCAAGTTAGTCACCTTGAGCGGGATACCAGCCACCGAATTAGTCTTCATAAGAGCAACAGTCCAGGGTTTGGTTGTGGTTCTCGCCATGGGATGTTTTAGAGAGATCCCTAGTACCAATCAAATCAGGTATGATCCTTCTACCGCTAGTGGTGGAGATGACGACAATGAACTACTTCAAGAGAGATCCAGACCTCTGCTGATCTCTGTACCGCTGGGGAGTGCGGATATTCGAGCGGTAGTTTTAGCACGAGGAGCCGTTGGTGGTTGTGGGTTCTGCCTCTACTTCTACACAATCAGTGTTCTCCCACTTGGTGATGCTGTGGCTCTCCTCTCCTTGAGTCCTGTTGTTACAGTTTGGGCAACAGCAGTGTTCTTTCGGGAACCCATGCGACGTCTGCATGTCATTTCGGCCATTACCACTCTGGTCGGATCGGTACTTATTGCCCAGCCGAACTTTCTGTTTGGGTCTGACGAGGTTTCACAGTCGGCTTCGGCCGTTTCTTCTGCAGCCAAGTCCTCTGGATACGTTACAGCTGCTCTTGGCACATGTACCAGTGCTGGCGTCTTTCTTCTGATGCGAAAAGCTGGAAAGGTTGGGGCTCATACGTTGCAATTGCTTTTTTCCTGGGTGGTTTTTGGAATTCTTTTTAGCTTCCTATTGGGAGTGGTGTTGCCCCTGGGAAAGGGTGGCTGGAGAATGCCGTCGTCCCCTCAAACATGGGCTAACATAGCAGGGTGCTGTTGCTTCGGTATGACCGCTCATTTCTGCCTGAACTTTGCCGGGCGACACAGCAACCCCGGTCTGGCTTCCATTGTGCGTGCCTCGGGGATATTGTGGGCTTATTTGCTGCAGTTTTTTCTCTTTGATCATGTGCCAACTCTTTGGACTATTGTGGGAGTGGTCTTGGTGTCCCTGTCATTGGTGTTGGTTTCGGTGCAAAAACTACTAGACAATCCAGGCGCATCCAGCGCGCCTACAGCAGAGCAATCCAGATTGATTGACGCTCCGCAACAGAAGGAGTATGGGGCGTCCGAGTCGCAGGCAGGTCGATCGATTGTGTAGAGTTTGCAGTTGCGAAGGACATAGGGCCGAACATCGAAGTGTATACCAACAAGGCAAGAATGACTCAGTTGGTCCAATTGATTATGCGATTGCAACCACTAGGCTATGGTTGGTTTCAATTTCTTCTATTCTACTGGTCATCCCAAGGTTCCAGGAAATCATCTATCGATTCCTCCGGCATTCCGGCTGAAAAGTCATGAACGCAAACATATTGGTTCATCCCATTTGTAATCAGCAGGTCATCATCATAATCCTCAGCTCCTTGTAAGCAGAGGCTTGACAAGTCTGTTGTGAAACCCTCCATCTTGTATTGTTCCTTGCCTTTGGCGACATCCCAGGCTGAGACAGTAACATGATACAGTAGAAGTTTGAGACGCTCAACAAGCTAATGAGTAGGGGGGAACCGTTTGTTCGACGTACCACGAATTGTACCGTCTTGTGACGCCGACAAGAACTGTGGCCGTCTTCCTCCCATTGTCTCTAGGGCGGTTATTGGACCATAATGACCTTTTGACCAAGAAAAGATGAGATCCCACACGGGCAGGCTTTTAGCAAGCGATATGTTTGCCATGCTACTGATCTACCTCTCCTTGTCTTACCTTCAAAGATATGAGCCTTTTTGGGCAATCTTTGATTTGCTAGCTTTGGCCAGCTTTCCATTCTTGGTGAGGATGGGCTTGTAAGGATCTCCCTAAAGCATGAAAATCATACCAACCATGTCAGAATAGAGAAATGGCGCGAATATGCATGCATGTCTGCGAGAAATGTCAACAGCAGTACGGTGCATCAATTTACCATTGCTTTACCAATCCATTGGCTCCTCCAGTAATCAATACAACACTGGAAGTGTCCTGACCACGCCCCAAGCTACCTGGTCCACCACAGGCAATGGCAGTGACGCCACCATCGTCTGCTTTGAACTTTCCTCTTGGCAAAGGACAGGCACCTCCAGAGCTGGCGGAATTGAGAAGATCGGACACGAGGTATCCCAAGACAAACCCGGTCGTCGTGCCCAGAAATATCTGGTCCTCATTGACATCTGCACAATGAATCACTTGGGTTACAGTATCATTGCCTTGATCACCCTCGGGATTCCCAATATCATCAACGTTGACTTTGCAATGGTATACAAGGTCACCGTTTTGGGCGTCCCAAATTGCCAGGCTGCCATCACATGATACCGAAAACAACAGCGGAGCATTTTGATAATAAATGAGTTTCAAGGCCACAATCTCATCATTGTGAATACCTTCCGAGAGTGGAACAGGTGAGCTCAATGCCTGGGTGTCACTCTCAGCATCCTCTTCACTAATGTGCCACTGTTGTATTTGTCCATTTCCTCGACACGTGATAAAAATGAGATCTTCCTCGGGCACCGGTAAGATATTGGAAATTGCAGATTCGCCCTGGTTCGCAGAGCATTGTGCCAATACTTGAAATGGGGCTGCTGGTGTTGTGACAGGTCGATCATCGTTTGGCGTGGAAGGTGATTGAGATGATTCTCGGACTAACTTGCTCTGGAATCGAGCTGATGCTGAAGAAGGAGCGTCCTCGTCATTGTTAGTTCCCGTATTATCGGCATCATCAATAAATGTTCCAGTGATTTTGGATTGAAAGTGGGCCAAGTATTCTTGTCCCAATTGGACCCAGACCAGGCTACCATTGCTTCGTCCAACCCATATTCTTGTCCCTTGACTGTTTATATCTGGCACAACTTTGGACACGTAGATTGGAGAATTGGTTTCCTGTGGCTGGCTGCCATCTTGCGGTTGAAAGCTTGACTGTTCTTCCGAAAGGGCATCTGCAGGGTCGAGGGAAAAGCCACGCACATACCAATCTCCCGTCTTCCAATTTTGCAGTAGCTTAGTCTCTCGTTTCAGTTCTTCCTGCTGGGATGCTTGAATGCGTTCTTGCAGTGAAGTGTCAGGGATGTTGGCATTATAATCGTTGCTGCCACTACCTCCAATGACAAAATCAAAGTCATCAAAGAAAATTTCTTCTTCCTCTCCATTATTGTCATTTCCAGTTTGAAACAAACAGGATTTCGTAGGAGAAAATTTTGGGGTAGCTGCATTCAAATTTCTTCCGGTTCTAGGCAGAGTGGTCGGAACGGTGTGTTGCCTGGCGATAAACGCGGTTGCTGTTGAGGGTACTAAGACTAGCAAGGATGGTAGAAACATCATTAAAACAGCCAAACAACTGCGGCCTCCAGTAGCCAAAACGGTGTTGACTTCCTCGTATTTAATAATTTGTTTAATCAGTCAACGTTGTGGAGGTTTGCTCCCATTGGATCAAAGCGTCCTTGTCAGAATTTGTCGACCGAACAAGCAATGTATTGGTGATGATGAAGATTCCGATGATGGCTTTGTTGGGGTTCTTCAAGCAAGCTGTTTTTTGTCTTTGATCATTGTTCCGTGTCAGAACTTCTTCGAAGATTCTGCCTCGGCTTGCGCACAGGAATGGCTGATTGAAGTACAGACAACTCCCACGGCGCTGTCGAGTCGGGGTTCAAACAAGCAAGGGCACGACGCCATGACGATGAGCTCGACTCGGAATCCAAACCCGGAGGATAGCGGACTCATCATGGACCAGTAGATCCAGGCCAGTGGCTCCTGGGTTGCTATGATGCTGGTACGGGGGCAGACAGAGGATGCGCGCCACACTCACCTGTCGGTACTACACGTGCAATAGTGGTAGCGGCAGATCACCACGCGGGGTATTTGCCTGACTGCTGACACGGACGCGCCCCTGGGATCTAGGATGCTTCCCTGCTTCCAGCAAGGCAAACACAGCCAGCCCGTCTAAGACCGAACGCAGAGGACCTAGCTGCGGCGAATACAAATCGGTACTGGTATTGCGACCTCGTCCGTCGCTACCATCTCGTGTAGATTTGCTTGCTAAGGGCGGTGGTGGCTTTCATGGCTGCGTTCTCTATTCCGAATATGTTTGATTATTGCCAGTATTTGGTGAAGATGCACCGAGCTCATCACTTCGATGGTATTAACCAAAAAGGAAGGAACTGAACAATAGCGGAACAGTCCGAGGAAAGTATCGCCACCAGCCAAAGACTGCAGTTTTAGTAGTAGCTAGCTAACCCTTTGTAGCTTTGCTAATTCAATTGAACCTCACAAATGCTTCAGGAAGTGGGAATCGCCTACTGATGATCGTGCAAACAGGAGAGCAGCTACTGCTTTGCTTACTATCACACCAACAACCCTGTAGCAGCCTAAGCGAAGATATCCACCAGCCAAATAGTGGCGACGACACGGGGCTTGTGGAGAAATAAGCAACCAGCCAAAATAGGATGGTGAAGCAATCGAAGCAGCGAACCAACCGGGAGTGGCAGGAGCGACAAGAGTTCTTTGCTTTTGGCCAAGCCTAGACGTGTCGCAGCGGTGGTAGGTGGTCTACTGCGGTGTTGAGACCTAATGGCAGGATAGCTTCTTTGCAATTTTGGCAAGATTGATCAACACCCCACTCATCAGAAACCTAATCAGGACGAGGTTCGTCTATACCAGTCAAATGTGATCGGGACACCTCTCTCCTCTCCCATCCAATTGATGACCCCAGGTCACAATGAGCCAAATTCAAGGCTATTGTCGACTTTGTGATGGGCTGGATGGTGCCCTCACTCCCTCACTGAGGGAGGGTTGTCTGGGTGGGTGCTCAAGACGCGAATCCGTGTCCGGTTAGGGCTAGGGTTCGTGTGAAATTAAGTTATTTAAGGCTTTCTGAACTCGTCTCGAGCATGGGGATCTGCCAATTTAACAAAATATTTGGTAAGATAGACACTGTAGTAATCTGTGTACCTCTTCTTTCTGGGAATAAGTAAATCTTTCAATCATTTCAACGTATAAAGAGTACTGTTGAGTCATGATTTAAAAACGGAACCCTGCAAATTGGGCATACGGACGGACCAATCTGCCATAGAAGCATGACTCACGGTACCGTACGACCTGTTGACTGACGAGGTTTCTACGTGACTGTAGATCTAAACAGTACCCAGCGGATACTAGGCACGGACCAGCCACCCCTCATCTCGGTTGCTGGACTCGAACACTCGAACGCTTTAGGCAAACTGGAAGACGAAGGGGATGGATGAGGGATGGATCATCTCATTTTTTCCCGTTGCTGAAAAGGTACCAACATATCTTTGGCCTCCACATTTTGATCTACAACGGCACCATTCCAAAAGGCGAGTTACGATCCAACCGATTGTGGGTTTATCTTTAGCAACTTTCCCAAGTTCTTCGTCGTACGAAAGTCAAGTAAGACAGGTTGCTCCTCCGTTAGAAATCCGCACATCCGCACATCTTCAGCTCAGAAAAAAACTACTTGTCCTGGCCAGCATGCAGAAAACTTCCAACAAACGAACAACCTCCACCAGAATGGCGTCAAAAGCCAAGAAGCAAACTGGGGAGTCCAGGGCGGGGAAACCAGCACGACCCAAAAAGGCGCAGAATGGAGCCAACGTTGAAGTCGTGGAGGTGCCACTGCGAACGGATATCCTCTGTGGTAAGGACAAGTCATGTGTTTCTCATGAAGGTTCTGTCAACTTCAGAAAGACGATTGACAAGTATCGCGAAAGATACTGCAGTGAAGAAACAAGCAAGCAAGAGCGAATGAGCATCACAAAAGAAATTGTGGCCAAGTTGAGCAAGAGTTCTCGGTTCCTCAAGTATGACACCAAGGACCAAGTGTGGAAGACCATTACAGCATTGGCTGCAAGAGACAAGGTTTCCCATGCACTGCGGTTTGCCAATCTCAAGGAAAACCGGAAGCTGGGAAAATGCAACGATGATAAATCAAAGCCAACTCGTCGTCGTGTTTCCACATCATCCGAGAGTTCTGCTGGCTCAGGTCCGAAGGCACAATCTCCTGAAGATGCCAAGTTCTGGAACTCCTTGGTATCAAGACAGACAAAGCTGCTTGAATCCATCAAGAAGGGCGAGAAGGAAGCAATCCCCGCGGTTGTTGAGCTCCCAAACATCCTAGTGACGATCCCTGCAACGGAATCGGCAGAAGATGAAGCCAAATACGATCCACTGAGCATCGACGACAGCAGCTTTGAGCACAACCCTACCTTTCAAGACTACTGCTTGCAGCTATACCCTTCCGAAGATTCCACCGTCGCATCAACTGCAGTCGTTGAGGGCACCGACGGGGAGGATGTTGGCCAATATGATGACGGCGACTATCTGCTCCCAGATGACGGCAAGTGCACTGGTGATGACAACGAGAGCGCACGCAAGTGCCTGTACGAAGACCAAAGTCAAAGCGAGGATTCACCAGGTATCATGGCCCAGTCTTGCGGCGAAGAAATCGCTTCCATGATTTCACAGCCACTCATGGAATGGGATCTGGAGCATGATGGGATCTTCATAGAGGAGGTCTGAAGCTAACCAACCGTCCCACATAGCACTAACATTATGAGTATAAGTCCAGCTAAACAATTTGCTAACTTGAGCTTCAGCACTGCCATAGTCGATGCGTGCAAGGGTGTCTCAGCTGCTTGTTTCTCGTGCTTGAAAGCGAAGCAGCTATCTTTGCTGCAATGATAGTAGTCTTTTAATTGACTTCAGGTATCAGGTATCATCACACAACACATCCTAGAAAGACAGCTGCGAACATAACGACCTAGCTATCTATAGAGTCTAGACAGCATTGAACAAACAACGATCAGACATACATGAGCACCTGATTTGGTCACGGTAGAGACTTCAAGCTTTGGCCAACTGGAATTTGAAGGCAACACTCCTAGCTGGCTAGAAGACAGCCCAAGCAAACTGATCATTGTTTTCTCTTATGCAGCTTCAAGGTCCAGACATGGCGAAAAGACGCCCTGCAAGGCAATGGGTGGCTGGATAAAACTAGAGTTATGATGAACGTACTAGCGTAACTCTCCCTGATCACCAAAATCGGCACATAACAAAACAAGTGCAAGTTTTGTTCACAATCGGTTAGTCTAATGGTCTACTTGAGTGTCCTTTGCAACACTTCGCTCACTCGGGCTACGTCGTCGACTCGACTCAGCAACAAGATCCTTTGGTGGCGTCTCCCTTTCCAGCTGCAGCACTGGATTGTGCATCATAGGGGAGGCTACTACCACATCCCTCAAAGATTCCGTAATGATTGTCAAAATTCCCAACGAATTCAAAGTGTTCCTTCAATCGGGTATCCTGTAGCATCTTCCATGTATTTCCACACACCGTTTTGATTCTTCCCTGTTCAAAGTAATGATGCTTGTCGAGTAACCATCCAGATTGGTATCGTGGAATTGTTCCCTTGTAGATAACTGCCTGACCATAGTCTTCGCAGGCTGGTTCTAGATCGAGGAGTTTCCAGAGACGGTAAGTTGCGGAATAGAACTCGAGTGCTTCATGCCCGTGTTCGGCAATGCTACGTTGCACATCTGCGTTGCTGACTGTAATGGGTGCATCCTCGACCAAGCGTGGATCAAACCCAACGTCTCTGGACAAGCATTCAAAGTCATTCCAGTAGAGAGCTCCACTCAAGCATTCTCCCCACAAAACGGGATCATCCTGAAGTTCCTGAGGCACCCGGCGACTGGCATACACATCGCTAAAGTAGAATTCTCCGCCCTCCTCGAGAAGGTTGTAGCAATGTTCCAAGACTCCCTTTTTGTCGGAACAGAGGTTAATTACGCAATTCTTTGAACACGCGGTGTGTCGAGTGGGTTAGAATGAACAAGCGACAATGCCGAGGTTTTCATTGACAACAAGTATGTCGCCATTGTCGAAAAGTAGGTTGCAACCAAGGCGGCAGTAACTTACGCTGATAATGACATCAAACTTTTGATCCTTGAGTTCCGGAATTTGATCTAAATTCTCCAGGTACCCCTGAAGGAATTGCACATTGTTGTATCCGAATTTTTCTTCATGATAGGTTTGGGTTTCAAGTGCTGTTTGCAATTGTTCTTCGGTCATGTCGACGCCAACAACTTTGCCGGTGGGTCCGACCAATTGGGAGGCAATGTAGACATCCCGTCCGGCTCCGCATCCCAGATCCAAGACACGAGCACCGGTCATGTCGTATTGTGGCAAACAGAGTCCGCATCCGTAGTACTTCGCCTTGACATCTGGGTGGATCTTGTCGATTGCTTGTTTAATGTAACTGGGAGGAGCATCTCCCGTGCAGCAGGCATTGGTTTTCAAATCATCCGATGTGGCCAGAGTTTGTCCGTAGTATTCTTGGACGGAGGATTGAGTGGCAGTGGCGTCCACTATTGAAATAAATGGTGATAATGGTAAGAAGAAACAAAGATTCAACTGATACCGGTACCGATACAGTACGGGTAACTTACCAAAGAGATCATTCTTGGGCTCTGCAGCTACAAACAGACGAGAGGAACTGGGCGTCTTGGCTGGAGCAGTGAAGGCACTCGCCGAGCAAAGAGCCGACAAGGCGACAACTAAGTGGAACTGCATGGTGCTGGTCTATTGTCTTCTTCTTGTTAATTGCCAGCGAAAGAGGCAGGTTGGTTGTTTGGTGCGATAATGGGAATAAAAAAGTGGAAGACGGATGGATGGGTGCGAAGAAAGAATAAGCTGGCGTTCGCATGACACGTCATCCAAAGAATATTTGTCAGGAACGCGGGGTAAAAATCAAAAGATCCAATCGAAGATTCGATTCGACGACCGTGTCAAGTGTCAAGGAGTGACGAGTCGAGTCAAGGAAAAGCAAACAACATCAGATTCTAAAAATCTTCAGGTCATCTACCGGTATCATCTGTCGAACATGGAGAGACCAGTGAATGTTCCACGAACCAGACGAATGAGGAGGAGGTTTCCCATGGTAATCTTTCCAGTGTTTTTGGCTGGATTGATGGGCCTACTAGTAGAGTCGATCCAGGCATTTTCTATCAACCATGGAAATCTTCCCTTCCCACAGAGACGAAACGTCAATCAACGAGTAGATGTCCAACTCTTTAGTAGTGCTGGTACAATTCCAATTCCACAACAAGATGATTTACTACAGGTCTTTTCCTGGGATGAGGAAGAATCCAATGACTCAGAGTTTGATCGACTTTGTCGCGTTCACTCTGTCTTGGAAACCGTGAGACTCCAAGTGCCCATGCTTTTGTCCACACCATTGACAGAAGCATCCTCCAAGGCTGTCTATGACGATCAGGTAGAGTTGGTAGTCAACGATGACATTGTCCTGGCTTCTTCCAGAGAAGAACTGGTCGCATTGTCCACCACTCTGGTTCTCGCAGTGGCAGCTACAAACCAAGCCAACGCCTTCTTCACACTAAGCAGCAATACCGACAATAGTAGAAAATCATCATCAGTATCATCATCGCAACAACAAGCATCATCCACAGTACTCTCCAGCCAAATGGCCATGGACCCAACGGTACAAACGCTGCGAGTCAAGTGGAACGTACAGCTACCCACCGTTGGTCCAAGAGGATCATCACAGCAGCGACGACAATTACAAGGCTTATCGGAATTAGAGCTTCATCCTACCACGGCAAAAGTCGTCAGGTTACGACTGCTGCAAGTCCAGTGGAATGATGAACTACTCAATGCCCGAGCCATTGCCGAAAGTTTGGCATCCTTGCGACAGTTGGTACTGGCAGTCCAAAAGTCGCCCTTGGCCGTAGCGGGTGGTGGACTCTTGCCATCCTTCTCTTCCTTGCTGGGGACCGATTTCTTGCAGCAAGTCCAAGCAGTAGCAACAACAACTACTACTTCTACTACCGATAGTGAAAAATCACCACTGTTTGTTGTGGAATCCATAGACAAAGTCTTTCAAAACAAGGACAACAGCAACAAGGCATCCAATAATACGACAAACAACAACAACAACAACACAAACACCATGATTCCCATTGATGACTATGGTCCAACCGTCCTCCCGGGATCGAGCACCTGGAGCCGCTACGTGGCGCGTCGACAAGTCTTTTATGTCTTTTGTCGAGAAGCACTGACTGTGCTCTCTGGAAACAAGACCATTGCTACCAAGGACATGGTAGAGTTGTTTGCTCCACAGGCACGTCTCGTCGCCGTGGATGGAAGTGAATTGTTGAGAGGAAGAGATGCCGTCAGCAATTTCTTTCAGACACTGGCGTCCTGGAGAAAACGAGCGTCGGGCACATGGGAAATTAGAAATGCTACTCTCGGCAAAGACAAAGACAAATACAAATACAACGACAAAAAGCAAGGAAATAGCACCAAGGATGGAAATGAAATCACAATTTTGGTGGATTATCGAGCCACGTCTTCTCTACCTGGAACACCGACGCCAGTTGTGATTCAAGGCACAGATCAGTTCACATTGGATGTAAGCTACTTGAGTTTGACAGAAGAAACAAAAGCATCAGATGATGACAGCAGTGGGCCCGAAGTTCTGATCAAACGGATTGAACAGAAAAAGCTGGAAATTGTCAATGGCGGTGTGGGTGCTCAAGCTGATGCCTTGTGGTTCATGAAGAGTCTTGTCAATGCTCTCAACACAGGCCGATTCAATAGTATGGGGGGCGATTCAGTGGTCATGGAATTGTTGCAGCGTGTCATTGCTGGAGATGTCAATGGGAACAAGAACAAGAAACCTCGTAGAAAGACTCCACCAAAACTACCAGACGCCACGGCAGTCCGTGTCTACAGAATCATGGCAGGATTGCACCATGATGTCCCATCTATTTTTGACACAGAAACCCTGCGAGTTTATCAGTTGCCGCCAATGCATGAATTCATGAGTGAACATGTGGAATTGAGAGGATACCTTGGTGAATCACTGGCTCGCGGTCGGCAAGCATACAATGCCGCAGTTGGGACATCAATTGCATCCCTGAAAGCCTCCCTGGCATCGGGTGGAGTCAAGTTGGACCAGGAACCGGCTGTCACGGTGGAACTGACCTCTCAGGGACATGTGCGCCTTACCTTGTCGGTAGAACTCAATGTATTGCCCCTTCCCAGTGGAACCAGTGGCCTAATCAACTCGATCAGTGGAAGCGCAATCTCCCTTCCAAGCGGGGGATTCCCACTGCAGATTTCAATTGTGTCCGACTATTTGGTGGACACGGAAACTCGAGAAATCTATCAACATAGACTCGTTGAAACCAGAGTCAATGGGCAACTGACGCCAGGAGATGTCATATCAAGGTGGATTAAAACACAGGCTGTGCCCTCTGACGGAGCAACCAACAACAATGCAGCTCTTGTGCAACGTGGGTTGATTGATGCAATATCTTGGGTGAGATCTGTGACCAATAGAGGGTGAACTAAAATGCCGTAGTCTTTACGGTAGGCTTTGACCTATATAGACTACAACGGAAGTTACCGGTACGGTGGCGCGTGTCATGCCGAGACCTGCCCGTGGACCAACTAGGTAGGCCAGGCCCAACTCCACCATGAGCCAAACCCAGCTTTCGGACAGAAATCCCCATGGTCCACAACGCAGCCCCACTGGGACCAATGTTGCCGAAAAAAAACTCGCACCAGGAAGAAGCACAATAACTAACTGATGCGACCGAGTCGAGTCTCTTTGAGCCAGGACTGAGCTGCGAACTTCTCATGAGCACCACAAGAGGTTCCCAAGAGGACCTTAAAAACAATGACAGCATGATTCTTTCGTGGTTTTATCGACGGTGGTAAATGTAGAGCAAAATAGCTACGGTACTTGTTGCATCTGTTTTAACGACAGCTCCTTACTATATGCATTTTCCAGATAGGGCCTCTCAGGCTACCGGTAGCATGCTGGTAAATATCAGGAAATCAAGAGAGATAGATGATATTGATATCGTGTTCATGAATGCCTCGACTCGATACCGTGTTCACGAATGACTCGACTCAATCAGCTCACAGAATGTGACCTGGCATAGTGGCTAACAAGCACGGCCTATTTTCTTGTTGATTGGATGGACCCTACCTGCCCTTCTCGTCCTAGGGTGGAGATGGCCCCATCCACTGCAGGGGACTTTGCGATCTTCTTGTAGAGGTCCCGGTTCATTTTCAAGATCTCAAATTCGCCACTTTCGCGGTACCCTCCTGGGATTTCGTTGTCTTCGGCAAACTTCTTTAATCGGTTTCTCAAGGCTGGGTATTTAGCGCGAGGCATGCTGGGGAACAAGTGGTGCTCCAACTGGTACTGCATACCACCCCAAAGCCATTCAGAGAAGGGGTTTGTCGTGACAGCGTTTCGGGTGGACAAGAATTGTGCAGCAACCCAGTCCGGCTGGAATTCATCGAAGAGTTCCTCAGATTGATGCGTCGGTGTGACAATCAAGGCCGACATGAGACCACTGATGAAAACGGCGGGGACCCAAACTCCCACTGGGAAAACAGTGAGTAATACAGCATAATGTATCAACAGGCCCTTCATTTCCTCTTCTGCGTGCATCCGGTTCTTTTTCAAGTTTGCAATAGCAGAGTTGATAGAATCGTATCTCCAGAGAGCAAACATGAACGAGAATGCTACCAAAAAGCTATAATGCTGAATCTTTCGCAGAGGCGAATCATCCGCTGGATCAGGAGCCCATTGGTACAGGAAAGGGTCTGTGGCAATATCCTCGTCCACTCCCTTTTCGTTGGCTGTTTGTTACAGTAACACAGCAAACATTGCAATAGCATAAAACAAGCCGGCAATCAGAGCCATAAGTGAGACTTGCTACACAGAAGCAGAAAAAGCCAGTTGCACGTTTTGTAGAACTTACTCATAGCATGGTGCTTGTTGTGCTTGTCTACCCACCAAGTGGGTAAAAGTCCCGCAGCAACAGCAGCAAAGTTGCGGAGCCTGACGCTCCAATCATCGACACCATGACAGTAATCATGGCCCAACCACCCCGCGGCTGTAAAGGAGAGACTGAGCGCCATGATACTAAAGGGGGCCACAGTGTGAGCCGTGGCAGCAGCCACAAGGACTAGAGAGCCCCAAATCCCAATCAGTTTGACATCCATGGAAGTATCTCGCTCCCACCACCCTTCGGCTTCAAGTTCTGTTCGGAACTTGCGAAATGCAATTTGGAGTTTGGTATCTGGTGGCGCCAACGAATCTAGCATGGTAGCAGTGGGTTCAACGCTCTTGGGTAGACGTTGTACCATGCTTCTTCCCTTTTCACTGTGAAAGGCATCCATAACCTCCGTGGCATCACGGCCATCATACCAGTCGATCCAATGGGTACCGGCTGGATGGGCCTTTCGCCAGCCCGACAGATCGTACCAAGTCCCATGGATTCTGACGTCCAAACTGGTGCGGCACTGTTCTTCGTCACAGGCTGCGACTTCCACGCAGTTGGCTTCCTCGTCGCATTCCCAGACGGTGGGTTCGTCTCCGTTTTCCTTCTTCTTGTTTTCGGTGGAAGGGGCATCCAACTGAGATACTTGTCGCCATGTTCTGTCCAGTGCCGCTGACGGCTTGACTGGAGAAAACTGCTGCTGTTGCAAGCTACCAATCACGCTGGATGGAACAAATGCCTCCACTAATGCAGCCCCCAGGACGGATAATGCCAAGACGACTCTACTAGTAACCTTCATCTTGTGTACGGTATGCTACAGCTAAAAAAATTTCGAAGCAACCAAACTATGATTGATGGCTCGGCAAGTTGCTCGATAGATACCTGAAAGACACAATGTTGGAACAACGTGCTTTTTTTGGTGGAAGGTGGATGATAAATTATGAGTCAGGGGTGGAACTCACTCACTCAGTGCTTTGATAGAATAGGTACAAATGGCCCTGGAGTTGGAAACTGACGATTGGTTGGTCCAAGAAGTGCCGACTGCGGAATAACCCAACCCATCATCATCATCAGTCAGTTGATGGCATCCTCTTCTTGGAATTGGCAACAGCAGCATCAGCGGGGAAACGTAGCAAGTGCGTACATTCTGGCAGCTGCAGCCGATCCTTATTGGGCAACGTAGTTCAACTGGCATGATCTTTCCTTCCAACAAGAACCGTAAAGAATGTTCTTAGTTAAAGTGACTGGACTTATTGAGTGACGAGCGGGTCTAAGAATTATCATGAGCCCTAATTATGCCAGCGCCGAAGGCCAGACGGCGGGCAGCCTCCGAAAAGCAACGACCATGACACAACGGGCGGATGCAGCGGTCGTTCGACTATCCATTGTACTACTAACACTGCTTGATAAGGAACATGAATCGCTCCCCTGCTAACATTCTGGATCGCCCTATTGGAGGCCGTGGATCTCGGTATGTTATCGTGGCTTTAGGTGTCTGCCGAAGGAAAACAAGCACACCGGATCTTTGTTTGGATCTTGGGGGTATCTTCTGTAGTTTCTATAGTTGGCACTACAATCTTCTCACTTCGGGTGTTTTCTCTGGAATAATATAGGTCGTCTCCGGAGGTATCTGCATCTGCGTTTGCCTATGTTTACTCGGAATTGGTCCAGTATCACCAGAATCGAGTAGACAGCATCTCGGAATTGGAGCGACGGCTGGAGTCTTCGGGGTATGGCGTTGGACTGAAGGTCCTAGAGCTCCTGGCCTATCGATCGCGGGAAGTAAGTCCTTATTGTAGTGATTTTTGCGGGCGTCTTGGGAATGATTATCGCAGCCCTAGCTTTGTTAGATGAATTTTGGTCATTGCTCAATTCGCCCTCATCTTTCGATCCACCCACTACAATGACAAACTGTCTAAATTCAGTTCAAGAGAGAAACACGGCTGATGAATGTCCTGCAGTTTGTGTCGTCCCAGTGCTGGAAGGCTCTATTTCATAAACCCGCTGATTCGCTAGAACGAAGTATTGATCATGCCGATGAGTACATGATTGTGGACTATACCCCCATCACTTCTACCTATATTCGCGTCGGATCGGATATGGGCAGTTTGAGCGTGGACGCCTACATATCTGGGATCATTGCAGGTATCTTGGCTGGTGCTGGATTCCCCGCCAGAGTCACGGCTCACTCGGTAGCCCTCGAAGAGGTCGAAAAAACCGATCAAGCACAGAGAGAGCAGGCTGCTTTCTTTGGTACCACCCGTGGTGGTACTGTACGAGACGGATCCAGTGTGAGAGGAGCTGTCAGTGATGCTGTTGGTAGTGCTGTGATGGGAATGGGCAGTGAACGAGGTGGACCAGCAGGAAACACCATGTCCATTGCCGCTGCTGCAGCCGCTGTGCCCCTTCCTCCCATCCCAGCTCGAACTGAAAAGGCCGTCTTTTTGGTGAAATTCAGTCCAGAGGTCCTCACTCGTGATGCTGCCATGGATAGGTAATGCTGCATCTATCTGGTTTTATCAGGTGGAACAGATTGCCGGTTCGATGCCATGCAATGGAAACAACTTTGTCCATCGCGCATACCGTAGTACTAGTAGCTGGCAAAGTAAAGTTGATGACATAATATTTTGAAGCACTGTCCGTTGCTGGCTAGCTAGAGAGAATGTGCATAGATGATAGCTGGCTGACTTGTAGCTTGTCGTATTGCTGTTTAGCCAGAGACGCGAGACTGCAACCCAAACGCTTCAGATCCGTCTATTTCACTTTCAGCTGCAAAGAAAGCAACGTAGATACCGAACAATGGGCCCTCCACCGTCGTGAATATCGGGAGCAGGTAGCCATTCAGCTTGCTTTGTAAATGAATCAATTTGGAACCCCGTGTTGTTGCAAAATACTATAGAGACGATGATATTACAATGATAGATGAGAGGTCGAGAGAGTGCGGCCTGTACAGCGCTCGATTGCAGCCATAACGGCATAAGTGTCATTGGTGGCTGGCTCCTCGTGAATTAGCGTCGAGGCATCATTTCCCTGAAAGCATCCGGAAAGCATGACATCCACCATTCCGCATAACAAATGTCTTCCTCGACAGTCGTGTCAACCCGAGGCACAGGAGGAGGAGTGTTGTTCTTGCGATGATATTGTCGGCTACCCGATTTGCCACCGCTCTGTCTGGAAGTGTTCATGCTGGATAAAGACTGCTTGGGTTCCAAGGTGTATTTGCCATTGGATGAAGATTCACCAGCTGAACCAGCCGAAATGCTAGAACCATCTCTTCCCTTGAGTTGTCTCTTCTCTTTCTTTCTCTTTTTGAGACTGTCTGTTGGGTCGGCAGGAGCAAAAGTAATATTGTCAAAGGCCGATTCCGATTCATTGTTGTAGCTGCCTCCATCATTGGCCATGCTATCACTCGGTTGGCTGCAAGAGCAAAGGGATACAATGATTGTGAGCGTCTCTTCCGGTAGATGTAGAGTTCAGTCGGGAGCCGCCTGATAAGCAGCTCTATACTTACCCTGTGACGGTAGATACCAGATCAGTTCCATGCAGGAGATTGGACTCTCCATCCGTGGAATATTGCAACGAGGATGACGTGGAAGCTTGCGAAGACTTTGCTTTGATTTGCGCCTGAGCCTGCCCTTGAAGGCTTGCTGCATGTTGTTGCTGCAAACGGTGATAGTCGGCATGCGACAGTCCCTTCTCCTTCATCAATGGTCCCAACTCGTTAGGATCCTGCATATCGAGGACTTTCATGATATCCGCAAAGCTGCTATCGGTGGACTCTCCTGCACTATTGATCGAGGACGCTGCCGAATAGGTGAGTGATCCTGAATCGGTGGGATCATCACTGTGTGTCCGTTGATGCTGTCTGCGATGTTTGCGTGTATTCGCATTGGCAGCAGCTATCATATGATAGTTGTCAGGCTGATCAAACGTGTAGGTTGTCTTCTTATGCATGGCGCCTACAGCATCATGGGATGCCATGCTGACCGCAGTTGCCATTTCGGAGTCCCTGTTAGGATACTGAAGCGAGATAACGAGAGAGAGAGTACGGATGAGAAAGAGATCAAGAGGATGCAGATACCCATGGTATTCCACCCAGCAACCCTGATCCCACTGCCACACTGACAAAATAAATGGATTCCCTCCGCTAGCGCTCTAGCCGACACCAAGAATCCGATCGGAGGCAACCACTACATCAACTTTTGTCACAGCGCACTAACTCAGGTTTTCTTGCAAACCAACCACAATGAAAGCACATACATGGAAAGAATGGAACTACAAAAGCTACAAAAATGGAGAAGCTGGGTTGCTGCAACCTCCGAGGCGTGGAGTGTGCAATACTCCCCACGACAAAGAATCCTTATAGATAACGCTTCAGCCTGTTATCTAATGGTCAACTGACATCGGCAATGAGCTCTATCCAATCTTTCTGTGGTTGACGCCGAAAGAAAAGATGAATGCGTTGTTCCAGAAAAAAATGCACCCGCACGCCAAGCACCAACGGAAGAGTTACCGAACGCCAATAGTAATTAGAGATGCACATGAAAGTTGCTTTGGGGGGACTAATTGCGGGGTTCGTGCCAGAGACCATTGTAAGGAAAAGGGGGTCTTGTTTTTTGTGGTGCCCCTGGTCCACTTTCGGTTTGGGGCTTGTCGGCACCAATTTTTGGACGCAAAATTGTCCTGCCACCGCGACAAACTCGACCACTCCGACTCCCGGCTCACCTTTCCTCGCGGGATACCGGTACAGACAGCCATAGAATGGTTGTTTTGACATCACGTACATGCATGTAGTTGTGTGATTGAATTCAATCATTCTAACCCATAGTCCCACCATTCTAGGTACGCACGGTAGCCACCGGTCCACCGGTATCCAGTGCGGTACATGTAGCGGTGTACCGGTAGACCCCGGTACCGGTTTGTCATAGTGCTGACCAGACCGGCAAATCTTGCTGGCTACATGGCGAGTAGAAGAGCGTGTTGTGCTGTGGATCACGATGAACTTTAGAAGTATCGGTGATTAGAATCTCTGGCACCGAGATGGATATGAAACAGAAAACTAAGGGCAACATACCAGTAGAGCAGAATAGAAGTACAATACCCCCAAATTATCTACAGTCCCCAAGTAGCTCAGTATGCAAGTGGCACCGTTCCCTCGAGCAATAGTTCCTATATCCCGAAGGGACTACCGGTACCCGGTTCCTGCTTTCTGTGATGCTCGGTGGGAGACCTATGCATACATGGGCGAAACGGTCCCAGTGTGATCATATCAGGCAGCAACCGATAGCATCATTCGACCATTGGAACCGACGGAGCGGCTCCCTAGCCGCGAGCGAAGTTTGAAACTGACTCAATGCTCCGTTGAGCACACATAAAAGGAGTCACAAGATGAAGCCACACACGGGCAACTTGCTCGCTTATTGGCAGCTACGAAAGCACATTACCCGAGCGATTAGCTAGGGATTGGTTTTTAGTCAACTATTAATACTACATGTAGAGGTATATACAATACAACTCAAGTAGTTTCACTGAAGCATGCGTGCTACTTGCCAGTCTTTTGGCTACTTACAGATGTTCCGACTGTGCTGGACGACGACAGTGTGTGTCACTCATCCCAGCCAGCCAAGAATTTGCGCATCGAGGCATCCGCGACTATCTAGCTATAGCGCCATGATACCAAGCCAAAGGTTTTGAATGGTGACACGAAGAGTGTTCGTTGTGTCACTGCCAACCCGAATGATTATCTATGTTGTCTTGTCAGGGTCCATCTTGCTTGCTAGCTAGCTAGAGAGCTCGCGCCAAGTTTTGATGACACGGACTGATGGTGCGGTACTGGTGCTGGTCTCCACGACCTTCCTTGACCCGCTCGAGCGTGCTCCTTCGAACGCCTTTATGGAGTTTCTGTACCGGCAGAAACATCGTTCTTGCGCAAGGAGCTCAAAAATTTGGCGACGCAACGCAGAGGACAAACTCCCTCCACTATTTGCTCAACGCCCATCAAATTGAAAACTGCAACATGCGACCTCATTTTTCTTGCCCTCCATCACCCACCAGCTCTTCCTACAATTGGTTATAGCAGTTTGAAAGAGCTTGAAGAGGAAGTAAAGATCAAAAAGTTTGCCTCCGCGGTATTATTCGTCATCAAGGCATCGAAGTCCCGTTTCCTTGTCGTTTGACAGAAAATGAGGGTCATTCTCCTGTCGCTTCTTTCAGTATCTTTGGTGTCGGCATGGAGAGTTGATAGACGTTGCCTCGAAGGGGGTGAAATATTGACGGGAGAGGAAGTTGACCAGCTAATGTTTGAAAACGGCAATGTGCAAGAAGACTACCTTGACTTTTGGGAGCAAGAGGAATACCTCGAAACCGACAAAGATATTGGCTTCCGAAATCATTCATTACACGCAAACACCACGAGGAGACTTCAATCTGGGACGTTCAATTTGAAGCTATATTGGCAACGTGGTTACTGCTGGCAGGTAAGGAACTATATTGCGGCGTCAACAAGTTTTGTTCAAGGCACATGCAATGAAGCAGTTGTATCAGCCTTTCCAATCAATTTGCTCTTTCTATTTTGATCTATCTCCGCTATTCGTTGTGTGAAGGATGAGTGGATAGAACGCAAGTGGTGCATGGGTAAGTTCTATCGTTATCATACTCTAGCTAACCATTCAGAACCTGACCGATGCGTCCTGTTTCTCGTGTAGAGTGTCGTCGGGTAAGTGCAATCGAAACCACACCCAAGTCCGATCCCGATCCCGATCCTTTCAGCCGTTCAGATCCTGACCTTGCATGTCATGTTTCTCGGCGTACGGCATCCATGACGAATCTCCCCACCAGAACTGCAACAACGGTGATGTCCTGGAGCTTCAAAGCGTACGTGGCTACACTACAGAAACGAAGAATGTCATTTCGCAATCTCATGGTGGTTCGTCATTTCTTTACGCCACTGTTCCAACGTCTCCCTGCACGTACAGTGCTCGAGGACCTGGAAACAACGATTTCGTTGGGAGGGTGGAAAGCTCAAAATTGCTAGCAGGAATATGTGCCTGACCAGGTCAGGCAACAGTCTTCGACTTCGATCTTGCGGGGGAGGAAACCAGGGCTTTCGTGGTCTCACTAACGGTGGAGGCTTTCGACTCCGACCGAGCGGGAGTTCCAAGTGCCTGAGCCAGCATCATCATCCTAAAGCTGGCGAGGTCATTGAGCTCACCAACTGTGGATTAGCAGGGCAACATAAGACAGACAAGTGGAATGTGTACTGGGGAAGCGCCAGCGGAGGGGGCGGTGGCGGCGGTGATGATGAAGACAACGACAATGACAACGACAATGACAACGACAATGACAACGACAATGACAACGACAATGACAACGACAATGACAATGACAACGACAATGACAACGATGGCGGCAGTGGAAAGCCTTTGGCCTCCGACAACAAGAATTGTCGGCCCGGCAATCGATGTAGTAGCTGGTAGGTACTTGCATTGGGTGCACCCCATGTCCTCCAAGGATTATCTCAACATTGTGCTTTCTTTTACTTTTGAAAACAGCGAGGGGGATTGTGATACAGATGATGACTGTAGTGGTTCGCTTCGTTGCTTTCAGCGTTTTGGTCGAACTGCATTAGATCCTGTCCCAGGTTGTTCCGGAACTGGGTTCAGAGGTCGCGATTATTGTTACTAACCGAAAGACAGCGCGCATGCATTGGCAACAGGAGCGAGGCAACCGAAAGAAGAAACACACTACCAGTATTGGTGGAGGCTATTAGTAGAGTGTCTAGAGTAGCACGAATTATCAAGGTGTTTGGGCAAGGTGGGGCTACGTATGGCTCGCCACCGGTAGATGGTAGGGTAGATACAACCAGCTTGTACCGAATTAGTTTCGGTTAGTAGGAAGTCTCACGTTCTTCTTTGGGAACCGATGATAGCTTTCGTCGAACTAGTATTCGCCTTCCAAGTCCGATTCATGCAAACTTGCCATCCACGATACCGGTACAATCTCTGCAGTTCCCATGTTGAGATCTTGATCAGGATCCGGATCCTCTGATAGCCTAGCCTTGAGCTCCTCCTTCTCCGAAACGAGGCTAGCTATATCGGACTTGTGCCTTCGCTCTTGCTCAATCTTGTCGGCTTTCAAAATCGCAACCTCCTGCTTGAGCTTTGGAATCTCTTGCTCCAACATCGCAGACTTCTTTCGAGTTTTTCCAGGTTGTCCTGTTTCAAAGCACATCCACGGATTCGTGCGAAGACAATCGTAGAGACAATCGATATCTGCTGCTTTGCCCAGTTCCTTGGTCTGTTCCACGGTGACAATGGTTGGGTACGTTACGGACTGGTACTCGTACCGGTACCGGTACACCGGTGGTGCGGGTACCACTACCGGTACCGGTACCACCTGGCATGTACAGGCAGCTTCGCTTTTACTGATTTAAACGCGCGCCAAGCTTCTCTGTACACTTCTACAGGACCTCTCGTAGAAGTGTACCAGAAAGTGCGGCACGCGTTTGAATCAATAAAATCGAAGCTGCTCGTACTGGTCACCAGCACCATGGTCACCAAGGTATCGGAGATGACGCGTGTGGGAATGAAAGGTTCGGTCGTGATTACTGAAAGCCTCAACCCCACTGTACTTATCTTTTTTAAAATTTTGAAGGACGTTTTTGAACTACTACCGGTAGCTAGTAGCGCCAGATCTTTGTTCTTTCACCAAGCTGAAGGGAAGCACCTTTGGGCCCGAGCTCGATCATTCTTTCCTACATTGATTTATTTCCTTGTTACGGTGTTACGGTACGGTACCTTTTTGTTGTCATAAACCATGGTACCAGCAATGAAGCGAATGAATCTTCTGAGTGCCATTGCTCTCGCTTGGGCTGTCCTCTTTGATGGCGTTGAGGCTCAGTGGGTCCAAGACCATCGATGCGCCCGACGTCTCTCTGTTGACTTCCAGTTCGGGGTAGCAGAAGAATGGAAGCATGATCAACAATCAAAGGTTCAAGAGCACGTTGATATTGTGTATGGAGTTAATAGTGACAATGAGTCCCAAGAGAGCGTTGCCAGCAGAAGCGATGGTGAAGATCAGGAAGACTTCTGGTACAGCTATCTTCGTGGACACAGCGAGCCACCGTTCGCCAGGGACCAAGCTACCAATCAGAGTGAACGCCAAATTTTGGAAGAAGACCCAACATCTTTTATGATGCGCCTTCATTGGGAAAAGGGAAATTGTTGGCAAGGAGAAAGGATTCGGCGACAGTGGTGTATGGCATGTGACAAAGGCGATGACTGCAGGTCGGGCGACAAACTGTGGACTCAATTCTGCGACAACAGCGTTGGTCAGAAATTTACATGGATACCACGGGTGGGTCCTGCCGACGACGATGACAACCAGAACTATGGACAACTCAAACTTGCATACTTTAACCTCTGTCTAGAGCGCATGACTACGAACACGTATCAGCTCCAACGGTGCGACTCGGACTCGCCATATCAAGTATTGGTTGGATGGCATCCCACGCGACCCTTTGAGCTCCACCCCACTGAGAACCATCAAAAATGTATCAATCAGCATCACCATCCTAGACCCCAAGAAGAGATTGCCAATACTTTTTGTGACTTGGCGGCACAGTTTCACACCAATCTATGGGAGGTTTACAGGAACAACAACGCAGGCAACGAAATGGTGCGACTTCGTAGGCCTCAGTGTTCCCGAGATCGGCCGTGTTCACGTTGTGAAGGAGACTGCGACTCCTCTCTCGAATGTGCAGGTGACCTCATTTGCGTTCAAAGAGAAACAGGTAGGCTAAGCTTAGAAATGTTGTCGAAATCAAGGATTGCTTCAATGTTTGGAAGTAAGTCAATTCTAAGGTAAATCATGCGCGTGCTGTGTTTCAGGCGACGCACAAATGCCAGTTGCAGGTTGCAATGGGATTCCCAATGTCAACGCCGACTATTGCGCAAGGCCAGAAGACGTCTTTCGATCGGAAGTCCCCAACCACAGTTTGCGGCTAAGGGATAGAGACTGCAGCGCCGACAACCCATGCGTAAATCAGTGCGAAGGCAACTGTTGGGGTGACAATACGTAAGGATCATTGCAGCCTTGTCTACATGCGGCTTTGTCTTGGATCTTGGATCTCACACACTCCCTCAGTTGCTATGGTACCATGAGGTGCTTTCGGCGAGAAAGCACGAGCGAAAGGGTACCTCATTGCGCAATGGACCCAGAGGCACCGGCTGCCAACTACTGCTACGAGCCCGACGAAGAAAAATCCTTGACACCTCAAACGCATTTAATAGAAATACCAAATGGGTGCACAGAGGTACGGTCAAATCAAACAACTCCAACCTAAGAGACGCACAGGATTGTGCTCTGCTACATACAACAGAACTCATTTGTCTTTTCAATTCCTCTCTTGCAGGATAAACCTTGCCTGCAATGCCAAGGCGGTAAGTGTCGATTGAAGGGGATTGAATCGTAACCACAACACCCACCAATGGGTCGCTTGCTTAATCTCCTCATCTTTTGTCTTCCTTGTGTGTCGTAGATTGTGACAACGACTTACAATGTTATGGCCCATTGAGATGCTACCAACGTCAAGCGGAAAACGCTCGGGAGAACGTTCCCGGGTGTTTAGGTTGGGGCATCAGCGGTAAGTCGGGGTCGCCCTCTTTGACTGTAACAGGTCAGATGGAGCAGGGAAGACGCAACGACTAACTCTGTATCTCTCTCTTTTCTTATGACAACGTTACAGAGGCAGACTATTGCTACTTACCAGATGTTCCAACTCCGTCTCCTGTAGCAGAACTTGAAGACGACGACGATGATTCAGTTATCATCCCAGCAACCCCAAATCAGGAAACTCTTCCCAACCAAGCATCCGTGACGTTAGGAAGCCCGAAGCCTTTGAAAGCTGACACAAAACGGTGTATGGCCAATGACCCTTGCGTTGAATGCGAAGGAGATTGTGATGGTGACGCAGGTACGAGGGAACAGTTGCTTATAGACAGTGTTGAATGGCTTTGGACATCACCAGCTAACCCCGTTGCAGGCTGTGCTGGGTCTTTGGTGTGCTTCCAACGCCCTTGGCATCAGCCCTATCAGAAGGTACCAGGTTGTGTAGGGCGGGGTGTTGCGGGGGCAGATTAGTGAGTAACCGTGTTTTGGATTCGTACCAGAACAATGGAATTTATGCCTCTAACACGATTGTGTCACAGTTGCGTCAAGGCATGATCGAAGCACAGTCACCTGGACGAATTGCAGTGGAAAGCGGACGACAGGCACGTCCCTATCTCATCTTATGATGTACTGATTGGAATACACATTGTATTGGAAAGGTTCTGAAGCGAGTAATGTGCCGGCGGCACTGCATGGAAAAATTACTTGAAATGAGACCGCCTACGGTTGACAACAACAGGATGGTGGCTTGGGAATGATTCAATCTTAGATACTCTGCTTCTCTGTCGAAAGGCACCAAAACTAGAAAAACTAGCCACTGCGGTTTTTCCTCTTGAGATCAGTTTTGGAAGCATCACGGAAACCATGTAGTTGTAGTGAGCTGCAAGGAAATATTTAGGTTACTACGTCAGTCATGCCTCGTTTTGTCGCTAAGCCGCTGTTGAGTTGAGTTATTATTGATGAGTGACCTCAACCGCGGGAGCGGGTGCATCGTTGGCTTCAAGCTTGATGGAATCAGGATCAATGGAGGCACATTCCTCTGCTCGCTTCTTGTTCCAGAAAGAAGCCGGCAAGATCTTTCGTGGATTGCATCGGCTCTTGTATTTCTTCACAACTTCTGTCACTTCATCGAAAAGTCCAGTATCAAGGGAAATGGGATCAAGTCCTAGGTTGCAGAATTTTTTGTTGGACACATCCAGCTCATTCTCGGCAGCTTCCTGGCGAGGATTGGGGATGAAGTTGGCCTCAACACCAGTCATTTCGGCGACCATTTTGGCAACGTCACGGACACGACGGGTTTCTGCAATTTGGTTGAAAATTTCTACCCTGTCGCCCTTGGCGGGAGGGTTGTTGACGGCAATTTCAATGCACCTTGCAGTGTCGGTAATGTGAATGAAGGCACGAGTTTGACCCCCAGTACCATAGACAGTCAAGGGGACACCCATGGCACCTTGCATGAGGAATCGGTTGAGAACGGTTCCATAGTCTCCATCATAATCAAATCGGTTGACCAATCTCTCATCCTTGGCAGTCTGAGGGGTATTGGTTCCCCAGACGATTCCTTGATGGAGGTCAGTGATCCGAAGTTGGTCATTCTTCTGGTAAAATTGCCAAAGAAGAGCATCCAAGCATTTAGTGGCGTGGTACACAGATCCAGGGTAGGCAGGGTGAAGGATGGTGGACTCTCTTCCTCCTGGGAGAATAACATCAATGTATCCTTCAGGGATTTCTCCCCCAGAAGTTCCATATCCATAGACACCCATAGTTCCCAAATGAACAATATGGATATCAAGTTCACTGTCAATGACAGCACAGCAAAGGTTGTTGGCCCCACCGACATTGTTATCGACGGTGTATCGCTTAGCCTTGGAGGTCTTCATGGAATAGGGAGCCGCACGCTGTTCCGCGAAGTGGACTACAGAATCGGGTTTTTCTTCCTTCAACAGTTGGACCAAGAGGTCATAATCTTTCGCCACATCCAAATTCACAAATTTAATATCCTTTCCGGAGACTTCTTTCCATGCTTGAACGCGGACCTGATACAAAGAGAGGTGACTGGGATGAGAAATCCTGTGGGGTATCCAGTTTCCAGCCGCTTCACTTCCATAAATATCCACTAAACCCTAGGCTATCTAGCCAATACTCAATCGTCCAATCCCTGCCAATAATAAGAGTCTCCAAAAGGCCCACGTACCTCAGGGCTCTGAATGGGAGTCAAAGAGTCGCATCCCAACTCGTTGTCAATGTTTCTTCGCGAAAGATTGTCTACAATGATAACCTCATGTCCTTGGTCGCTAAGGTGCAAGGATGTGGGCCATCCACAGAATCCATCTCCTCCCAAAACAACAACCTTCTTCTTATCCCCACTGTCGGCAGATGCATGCAGGGTTGTGGTAGTGCTGGTCTTGGCAGCACCAGTCCAACCCAAAGGATTCGTGAAAGCAGTTGCGATGGTGACCATCGAAGAAACCATAAAAAGGACCCTCATCTTGTTCTGTGTGTGATATCTGGTTCTAGACTAATAGATAATAGAAGCACTTTCAGGTTAGAGATTGGAGAGATAGGATGGACAACCCACTCACTTGCAAAGTCGAGGAATATGTGTCGCCAAGAATATCACTGGGTTTTGTTCTTGATGTCCCTGACTTCAGACAACAACACAAACTACAGTCCTGTGCGCACACACCTACCTTGACAACAACTGAAAATCGAACTTGGATGGTTGGTGGTTCCTGCTCGTTTGATAGTTTCTGTGATGGGGGGCTTCAGAGCCAAGTTGAAGGAATCGAAGATTACCGCCAATGAAATCAACGCTCTCGGAAGATCCATCCACTTGGAAGCAGCTGAGGAAGGGCTGCATCTCCCAACGGCATTTGAGATTCAGGAGGATGTCAACGGCCACCACGTACTAGTACGTTTGTACCTACCAGAGCCTGGCTGGCTGTCATTGGAGGACATGGGGTCTCACATCCCAGCAGAGCTGTATTAGGCGATCACCAAGTGGCACCGTAAGCTTATCTCTGGACTATCCATCTTTTGGAGGCAAATAATGGGCGGGGAATAGGAAACTCTCTGGCTAGAGAATGGAGTGAGTCCTGCCCACTTTAGCTTTGGAAGCCAAGCTATGGAATGATCAATCAAGCTACAAATGACGCCAACTGCTTTCTATCTAGATGCCATCTCATCTGCCTTCCTCCAAACTGGCATCATCCAATTTCCAGTCACAACTGACCCAATCCTATTGCAAGAAACATGGATGTCAAACAATCTTCAAATGCCAAACCCGACCTCTCTTGCCTCCAAGAAATCCTTCTCTATGTCTACGCCATGTTTTCGTACTTATCCCACCAAGCATACACAAAATAGTCTCCAGCCAAATCTATTTCAGCTGTTCCCATGCTGATTGATTGTCCTCACTTTGAGCATTACAGCCTGCCCTACACAACTGCAATATGCTTTTAGACAACATGTACACAATCCTTTTGCTACAGCGATTTGCTATCTAGCTAGCTAGCTAGACTACCTCCTGCAGCTAAAGGCCTTGCGTGGTTGACCTTGAGCATGTAATTCAGTATGCTTGTTTTCAAGGTGAGCCCTACCGGTATTGGGTATCAGCTTTACTAACTAGCTATGCCAGCGGGGGTTAATCACATTCTGGTCAACCCAGAGAGTGGATTGCATTTTTATTTTAGTTTGTGTCATTGTTTTTGGTGCTACTACAGCCGTCCGTACCGTACTACAAAAACACCAACACCATTAACAAATACGAGTTGCCGGGGAAGCCGAGTCGAGTCCTCTTATCCTACATTGCCGCTTATTGCATCATACCGGTACTGTACCTTATCATTTGACCATGGGGAAGGCACACCGCTTTGACCAGGGCGCTGTGGAGGTGTTAGTGGCATCATTACCCGCCGCGCTGAAGCAGGACATCGACAAGGCTATCATCCGAAAGACGCAGGAGCTCTTTCGAGTGCTGAATACGAAAGCCAATGGTCAACAATTGACCACGGGCGACAGCGCACGGATGCGTGCTGCCGTCTTGCTAGACTATGCAGTCCGCCAAGACAAGAATGTCCGTCTGTGTCAAACCAGTATGATGAAGGCACTTGGGCTTAAAAAGAAAACCCAAAAGAACAATTTCATTATCTTGGGGAATAGGATTGCCAATTACTTGGACGAACCCAGAGCAACTTCTCGAAACGCAGCAAAAATTATCCAAAGGAATAATCCAAGGCAGCAGTTGCTGGGTGCGGTTCCAACCACCACTACAAAAGAAACTCAAACGAAGAACAATATTCCTCGATTGGCCATCCGATTGAGCTCCTTGATTCATGATCCGCATGGATTTGCCGTACAAGCCAAGCAGTTGTTGCAGGATCTACATCGATTTGTGGAGACACTCCAAATGCCCAAAAGAGCCGACCTGCAGCATGACATGACACGCCATCCAGAATGTTATGGGGCCGCTTGTTTGTATCATGTCGTGGCCAAGACACAAACCAAAAAATTGTCGGCGCGACAACAACAGACGAAGCAACCGCAGAATGCCACCCGCAAACTAGAGGATGACACCAACCGTCCGCTGGAAATTGCCGATATTCTGACGGCATGTCCCAACTTTAACGAAAATGTCTTTAAGGAAATCTGTAGATACGTGGAATCTCTTGTCGAGGACATGGAACAAACCATGAAAGAAACGTCCAAAAAGAGTGCTGCGTCTACCAGAAACAAAAAACAGAAACAATCTGGCAAGAATGGCCGCAAAAGAGCTGCCTTTGAAGCGAGAAAAGAGGCCAATGACAAAGGGAGAAAGAAAAAGAAATCGGAAAAGTCCACAGAGACAAGTGCTGATGACAACCAACCAAGGGCGCAGCATTTATCGGATCCTGTCGAGATTCCATCGATCTGGGAGTGGCGTGAGCAGGTCCTCGCGGATGCCTGTGAATCTGCCAAGGCAAAGTTGACCAGCCAAGGACAAGCGTCCGAAAACTTCACCAAGTCCCAGTTGCTTGCTGAAGCCGCAAACGAGGTACTTGGTCGATTTGGACTTGCCGCAACCTAAGCAAACTCCTATAAATACCGTTCCAGTTTCTAGAATTAGATAATATAGTGTACTTTAACTAAGCGACAAGCAAAACAAAGCCTATCCGTGACAGGCCACAGATCCATCCCCCCACCCGAAGGATTGTCAACTCTACCCTCAGCATCAGTACTCTTGCATACCCACCCCCTCATCTTGAAGATATCGTACCCTCCATAATCCTGTTCTAAAACAAGACAGTGCTGCAGTTGCTTGTAGCTATCTGCCAAATTGGCTCGACTCCAATCGTAGCTGCAACTCAGATGGACGGGGATTGCATTGCAGGTCCTCACTACTAGCTAGCTAGCTAGCTAGCTAGCTAGCAATCTGTCTCTTCATTTGCTAACGGTACCACAGTGTCTATACTGCTACCCGGAGCAGGAAGCAAAGGAACCGCAGCATTTTCATGCCAAGCCTTGCTTTGAACTTTGATGCCCTGATCGTGTCTCCAATTTCAAACCTACTCAATGTACGGTACCAAGTGTTGCGGTACCAGTACCAGTACTAGTAAGGCTAGTTAGTACTAGTACTAGCTAGTACGCAGGAAGAACACCAAAAGGTCCTCGGTTCTGGTGTGGCTCTGACTTGCACTGACAATGACATGTTGGACTAGCCAGCTGGAATAGATGATGTAGACCCTGGTCTCCCAATAACCTTTCTGGCATGATTCAGCAGCTCACTCCACGCTCCACGGTTATGGTGCACCTTCATGCCTAAGTATTTCGGTGATTAGATGAAAACTCATCTAATTACCAAATTCAAAAACGGGCTGGCTTCCCCGCAGGCCAGCTCCATCGATGGCCAAAATTGCCAAGCTCCACCAACGCCTCGACATGATAATTTCCATTTTCATTCTAACGGATCTAATGAAATCTTTGGCGGCTCACCAAAAGAGGAAGGCGCATCTGCAGTGCAAAAACGTTAGTCATATTCTCGGCTACCTCGAGCAACAAATCATCAGCACAATTCGAAGCTTGCAGTAGTTAGATTCCTTAGCAACAACAACTCTAATCATGACCGAACAAGCTCAATCTGCAGGTATTCCAAGGGATACCACCCCCAGTCGAATGTCTGTAGTTGCAATTGCTAGAAATGCCGCAATCCTCTTGTTTCTCTGTGGTATCATTGCACTCCAATGGGAGCCAACAGAGAAAGCAAAGGCCCCTGTCCCTGTTGAAACACCTGCGATGTTTGAACAACCCGAAAACGTTGAGCAGAACGATACACCTGTTCAACCAATGCTGGAAGACCCTCTTCTTACAACAGTCAAAAACATCCGAGCACACAGACGCCTTAGCGTTAATACCGAAGTTGATGAGAGTGCCTCCGTGGATGAAGATGATCGATCTGCTCGCCGGCTGAAAGGAAAAGGAAAAGGTAAGGGTGGTGGCAGAGGCTACTCTGGAAGATCCAAAGGAAAAGGTGGAAAGGGTGGCAGCAAGTCCAAGTCAAAAGGAGGAAGAGGAAGAAGCGGAGTTAATCCTGAGGACACCTTCAGCCCGTTCCCCACCCAGACTCCATTCCCTACATCTACCCCTTTCCCAACTTCTACGCCCATCCCTACCGCAACCCCTGTTCCCACCTGGACACCATTCCCCACTTTCACCCCTTTCCCAACTGTCACCAAGTCTCCCGATGCAAGTCCGTCGACATCTACATCGCCCGATGCAAGTCCGTCGGCATCTACATCGCCCGATGCAAGTCCATCGGCATCGACATCCCCAGCGGGAACATCGGCTCCTTCGCCATCAGCGCCCACAACCACAACCACGGCCCCAACCACAGATGGTACCACAGCTCCAACGACCGCCGGTACCGCAGCGCCAACAGCTACAGCAGCACGTCTGTAAGCAGTGAAGCTTGCAAGATGATAATGATGATGAAGTCTGGCGGGACAATGGACATCGGGCTACAAGGCGGCGCAGTCGCGCTTACGATGAGGAGCGGAAGAGGAAAGAACCAGCCTCGACTAGCAGTGGCGAATGAAATCCGGTCAGAAAGCATGCAAGTTGACCTTCTGTTTATCTTCGGACAGCTTTCGCAGGATGGTGATGCAATGTCTTGCATCAAACACTTTGGAACTAGCACTAGTGTGATAATGATAGTAAAGAATGTTTCGTATTACATTGAAAGTACTGGTACGACTGCTTCGTACCGGAACCTTGGTGGGAGCGGTCTGGTTTCGGTGCGTGATTCATCGTTCCAAAGAGATTTTCAAAATCTGCCTCGTGTTTTGCTCAGGCCGTTACAATTCAATCGGTTCTAGTCAGTCTGATGATGGAATATGAGCAACGACCGAGAAACACAAGTTATCACGGGAGCGTGCTTCCTCTTGTCCACTTCCAGCCAAAGAACGATACTGCCTGCAGACGAAACCAAACCAATAGTCATGTCGAAGGGAGTAAAGCTTGTGCCCATTCTACTGATGGGATTTGCACTTTCTCTTAGCGTATTTGTATTGTGGACATCGCCGTCATTGGAGGAAGAACAGTTACGGAAGAAGACTCGACGCCAGCAGCTCGAACGAAACAGCTATCAGCTTCCTAGAAACCGACAAAAGAACCGCCTTGGCAATGGTGGTGGCGGACGAAGACTTCATCAGAAGGACGACCGCAAGTACGCGTTCGAGGCGGACAACGGCGAGTTGCTATCAGCAATACCGCTTCTGGGTGGATCAGCTGGCAAAAAATCGCGCTACCGCATGTTGCTGATACCCGTGGGAGATGCTTCGGTCCATGCGAATCAAGCTCCTGGCATGACAATGGCTTACTCGGGAGAGGCAACAGCACACGCTCTCAAAGATACCCGAACCGATGCTTCCTCCCAAGAACCAGTTCCATCGGAGACTTTGTCCAGCGAAGCAACACTGGAGCATTCGGCAGGTCGTTTATCGGAAGAGACGGCGTCTACGGCCATGGCCATTTCTTCGCAGCAGAGCCAACGAGGACGAAACTATCAGACCATCTTCTTTGTTTTGCGCCTTTCTTTGATGGGGACCATGATTATGTTTCTCTTTGCACGACATCACTTGAGAGCAGCGTTTTCAGATGGCGACGACCGAATCGCGGAAGACGACGACAGCGACGTTTCCCAGTACTCCACAGGCGGTCTGATCTACTCGAACTCTCCAGCCGACGTGGGCTATGGAACCATTGCGTTCTGGCATTGTGATGACTCCTTTGAAAAGTTTGATCTCTGATGTGGGTCTAGCTAGTAGACGTGGGGCTGCCAGAGAGAAGTGCCTCGGTTTACTTGAGTTGGTTGTATGCGATGGCTTTGGCAGATGGGGAGTGATGCGTCTTTGGCAGTGATGGGACAAACAAAGCTTGGGTGAAGAACTTTTGCCGTTCAAGTAGACTCGAAATAAAGATAAAGACTAGACATGCTGTCTTTGTGAAACCCTTGCATAGATGACATGCGAGTTTGGCAATCACATGGTACGCAAGCCCTCACCCGTCAATGCGAATCTCTCGTTCCCATTGCCCTATTCTTGAACCGTCTGTGCTCGAATGACTCCGCATACCAATGAGTACGTTATGTGTACTTTTCCCGTTGTTGCTGCATGGCCGCGGCATGCAAACGTCTCATGGATTGTTTGGATTGGTAGTGGCATGCTGGCGAAGTGACAGTGCAGTTGTCCTTGACCAGATGACACAGCATGTCATCACGAGAGGCATTGACATTGTTGATTAAATGGGGGTCTGGAGTAGGTAAGTTGACATTGTTGTTGTTGTTGGCTCCCCAAAGTTCAATCTTGAGTCGAGGATGCATGAGTTTTCCAATCAGAATCATGAGCCAACCCCAGATCAAATCACTGTGAAGACAAAATCCCACCGTCGTGGCAGCATTGGTATGGTTGTTCCACCAATGGGCATGATCCAAAAAGTCTCCCTGTTGGGTGTAGGCTTGAAGTATGTTCAAGATTCCCATTTTTTCTTGAAACAAGGATCGTTCCCCAAAGTTGTTTTGTTGAATGTAGTCGCAAATGTTCTTGTGTTGTTTCTTTGTTTTGCAGAGAATGGGTTTTTGAATGGCATTGAGCAGTCCCTTGGTCCAGACACTGCCAAAGCCCCCTTGTGGATAGCGTACTGGCGAAGTGTAAAAACAAGGGGATGTCATGGCAGTCTTTTTGGAAAAGTTGTGTCTGTTATGAAGAGACAACATGAGATCCATATTGTAATAGGTATCGTCATCCATAATGATGAGAAAATCTGGTTTTTCCTGCTGTTCGTATGCCTTCATGGCCTTGAGCAATCCCGCCATGGGTCGTTGCTGAGCACACATCCAACCCGGGATGCTGTCTTTTGGTTTTGGATCTAGGTATTCCTTGCTAAAGATGTGGTGACGGATTTTCTTGAGCATACGTGGCTGATCCAGGTGGAATTCGGGACTTCGACAGAGTTGTCGGATGGCGAGGGTATCATTGTAGGTTAGAGAGGTAGCACATTTTGGGTTGGGATCGTCTTGTTCGGTAATATCCCAGAAGAATCGGACCATGGGATGGGATCCAAAAGTTTCCTTTTGCACTTGTTGCAGAGCCTTGTTTTGTGCCGATCCTATCGAGATAATGTCCACAACAACCACAGGAAGTTCCGTGGTGGTAGTCGACTTGGCTTCTATTATTGGAATCGGTACCGGCAGATCCGACGGTATCAGTGGATACCGCCGTGGGGTCGCCTTTGGATCATGCGCAGTCAGTTCCACATTCTTCTTGTTCATCCAGATAACAAAAAGACAACCAACTACCACGATCCCGTGCATCAAACGTTGGTAGACCTTCATCTACCATCTACAACCATCTATTACTTTCTGCTCACCCCTTCTCGGTTCATCTCGGCGTTGATGATGGAAATGCAATAAGCCAGCGAAACGATCTGGAAGCTTTTTAAAAAAGAAGGCACAAGGGTTCTTTGATGTTCCCGCAAAAAGGAGGGACGACACGCGTTTTGGAGGCAAAACAATAGCGCGAAAAGAGGAATGACACTATTTTTCATGCCGCTATCTTCTTGTGAATGTATGGCAATACTAATACTCTAGTAGAATTGGGTAGCCACCTTGTCTCCTCCTTCATAGTTTGTTTCTTGAGGCAATCCTATCGTACTATGGTTCTTGGGTTACCACCCCTTCATCTTGTGACGAACATGATTGCTCCTCGTCGAAGCAACCGCCAAACTGCTTCTCCTCCTCCTCCCGCCGCAACCACCGCCGCTCCTCCCAAGGCTGCTGACATCATGTCGCCAGCTTCATCATCGTCGGACGAGGAGGAAAAACTCCTTCTAAGAACGCGAACCACTACCAAGTCTACTATTAATCCTGCTGTTAATGCCGCCTCTATCAGCACTAAGGGTGCAACTGCCAGGAGGGTCTCCATTGCAGGTACGCGGAATAATATCGGTAGCAGCAAGAAACCTGTACTCTCTTCTTCTTCCGAGGAAGAAGACTCGGATGCCGACTCTACCGTGGCATTGGCGCCCCCCAAGGACACGACCAAGTCAAAGCCTACGTCACAATCGGTTTCTACAGGATCCAATGAGAAGAAACTGGCGGATACAGAAGCCAAGAAGATGAATGCAACCCAGGCCGCAAAGGGCACTAGTACTACCAGTGCCAAAGGTAGACCCAGCAAGACTCCTGATCTTCTCTCTTCAGAGGACGAAGAAGAAACTGATGAGGAATCGGTAGCTGCTACCAATTACTTCAAGGCTCCTGCGAAGCCCAGAAAGCCGTCACCACAGCAGGCGAAGAGGACAAAGACTGACGGGTCAAAAGATGCCGCCAAGGAGTCATCCACCAATAAAACTGCCACAAGCCGTACTACTACTACTACCGCAAAGGACAAAACTGCCAAATCCACTGCATCCTCCAACAAGGAGAAGAGTCAGCTGGAAAACCTGCCGGTGCCCAACCCCAATGACAACAAGGACGAAGACAAGGACAATACAAGTATTCACCAGAAGGATGCTGCTGCCAAAACCAACACTCCGCCATCCAAAAAGACCACCATTCCTCCATCCAAAAACACTAGCACGGGCAGTGGTTCCAAAGCCAAAGCAAATGCAGCACAACGCAAGAAAAATTGCGGCCAAAATAAAGAATCCAACAAACCGCAACAAGCACAGTCTGCCAAGAACAAGACGGCCTTGATCACCCCCGCGACCAAGAACAAGGCAAGTGCCAACAAAAAGACGCCAGCAGATACGAGTACTGCTGCTTCCACCGACGGCACCAACACGGCAGGTTCCAACGCCACTGCGAAAAACCAAAAACCTCCTGAGAATAACTCCAAGACTCCATCAGCCAAAACTCCTAGTGCCAAAACAAGCACCACCAAGAAACGACAGAAAAAGACAAAGAAGAATCCTGTAGAGCAGGCGCAAGAAGAGTCACTGGAACTGGCTCAAAACATGGTCGAATGGACCGAGACAACCTACAAGGCTACCCAAGATGCATACAAAAAGGCGGATAAGGAATTGAAGCGCAAGCGACAAGACTTGGAACAGATGGAAACATTCGTGGCCAGTCTCCAGCAACAATCCAACAAGGCATTGGAAGATAAGAAAAGGGCCGCCAAACGACAAAAGGCATTGGTTAAGCAGTGGGACAAAACCACGTCCCATTTGGTAGAACAGCAGCAAGAGCTGGCCAAATTAGCAGCAGCAAGTGAAACGACCAACAGCACCAAGAAAGGAAGCAAGCGTGGTGTTGACGAGAGAGCCTCGTCTGGCAAGAAGAACAAGAAGCGCAAGGTGGTGGAGGACGATGACAGCGATGATGATAGTAGCAACGACGGCGACAGAAGTGATGAAGGTGGCAGCGAGGATGAAGATTCTGACTGGGAAGGTGCCAAGAGGTCCTCCAGGAAGAGCGTTGTAACGAGTCCGAGTGAACCCACTCCTCCAAGCCGCCGAGGGGCCCCACGCGTCACGAAATGGAAGTGCCCTATCTGCACGTTGGAGAACGCTCTTGGCAAAAAATCTTGTGAAGCCTGCCGCACGGCCAAGCCAGGTACATGTCCCAAGATTGATTGATTGGTATGATCCATTGCATCGATGCGGTTCCTGTACGCCCGATATTTATTTGGATTGGTGGTTTTAGTTTAGCACCGATGAAAGAAGCGAATACTGTCAGTCTGTAGCTAGCTAGCTAGATTGTCAGGGAGAGTTTTAGTTCCACCACAACACATTCGACATTTCCAAAACATAGTCTGCCCATAAGCAAAGTGGTGTTACCGCACCGCTATGGGCGACGCTTTTTGTTCTTTGAGACGGGAATGCGCACGCGCACAGGCATCGGAACATCCCAAAAGGCAATCTATTTTGCGCACTATGAAAACTCCGCTCGGCAAGATTGCGTAATGGGCCTGGTCTCACAAATCCAAAACAATCCATGCATATCCAAAGTCAACCGGTCACCATGCAACACAACAAGACAATAGTACAGAAATTTCTCACAAATCTGTTTTCGTCCAAAGGCAACCAACAAGATGAAAGTTGTTTCTGCTTTTCTCCTTCTCTTTGCCTCCATGATGGCCGTTTTGGCCCATGGGAGCCTGCGTAGCACCACTTCAAACTCCCCACAATCGAAGAATGATGGTCAAGCTGGCCGTGAGCTGTTCATTGGTGGCATGATTGATAACGCCAAGGATGCAGTTGGAAATGCGGTTGATAGAGCTAAGCAGGCAGTTTCAGATGCCATGGAGTCAGTTTTTGCACAGATGATGCCTACGCTCAAGGACGAACTTGGCAGTGTCTTCATTGAGGAGCTTGGGAATCACATGGATCCGTTTTCTCTCAATGGGCACACTCAGACATACGAGTTGGAGGATCTAGCCGATCTAGGCAACTGCACTGCTAATGGCACCGTTGATGTTTCCATCACTGAAATTTCTGGAACTAGTAGCCTCAAATTCAACAGTATCAGCATGGAAGAAACACCAACCTACACTGCCACCAACTACAAGGTGAAATGGGAAGGCGCAACCTTTGAGATTGAGACTGAAATTGAAAAGATTGAAGTAAACGGTACGTACACACTAACAATCACTGACTGTGGCTTGTCCGTGGAGACATCCACCACTGGTTCTGTGGAGATCACAGGCATCAAAGCAACCTTTGAGGTGGAAGTGGATGGTTTCTCCAAGTACACTGGAGAGACCCATATCACTGACTATGAGGTCAAAGACTTTGAAATTGATACATCAGAAGCAACTGTGAGTGGAGACACGACTATTTCCACTACTGTGTCTACATCCAACGGGGACTACAACATCACAGCCGACATCTCTGACTCGGTGGAGTCCTTTGTGGATGACGAGTTGGAAGGAACTCTCAAGGATGTTGCTTTGACCTTGATGAATGATCTTGCTGGTGACTTCCTTCCCGTGGTGATTGATTCTAGCGCCTTCGGTGTTTCAGCTTGAGAGAGCAAAGCACTGCTCTTACCTGAAGACCCATTTCAAAAAAACACAATACAATGCATGTACCAGGTAGTAGATCAAGAAAGAAGAACCAATAGTTAGTTGGACTCAAGGAAAACAACATAAAAACTAGTAGCTAGCAGATGGAAGTACTTGCCTCGTCTAGGTAGAGGGTACCGGTATAGAACTAGCTAGAATGACACATTGCGTCCTATACGTTACTCCAGATCTTCATAGATGATGCAATGGGCTTGGACCTTGGACCCTACGTGTCGGTACCTGGTACTAGCTAGTACGTAATGGTGGTCCAAAATGTACATCCGAAACTACACAACCAATCCAGGCAATGACTGATTGATGAAAAAGGCCCAGAAGGAATCTGGAATAAACTGTGAAGAAAGACTCCAGACGCACCGTCAGGCTACTTTGGTATTGCGGTATTTTCACAAATCTGCCGTCTTCCTGACTGACGTTGCAGCCATCACTTCACAGAACAAACTTGCATCGCGAAGATGTGGTCTGTTCACTGTTTCGGTTCCTTGAACGACCTGCCATTGCCAACATGCCTCAGAGGGTACAAGGTAGTCGCAGCAGTCCTCTTAGAATAGGAATGATTGGGGGCGGGACGGTGGGCGGCGGAGTCTATGAGATCTTGATGGGCAACAGTGGAAATGGAGGCCACCAACTCCCCCACTTGCGACGGCCCTGTGTCATATCCAAGATCTGTGTCAAGGATCTTTCCAAACCACGGAGCTTTCACTTGGACTCGGAGGTTTCGTCTCTGGTGACAGATGTCAATTCGATATTGAACGATGACTCGATTGAATTGATAATAGAAGTCATGGGTGGAACCGAACTCGCCAAGACCGTGGTTCTGGAAGCTCTCAAGAGGGGCAAGGCCGTCATTACGGCCAACAAGTCACTGATTGCCGAGCACATGTCTGAAATCGAAAAGACGTTAGCCACAAATCCAAAATCACAATTCGCCTATGAAGCAGCTGTTTGTGGTGGGATACCCATTGTTCAAGTCTTACAATCCTGTTATGCTGGAGATGTGATACACCAAGTCATGGGTGTTTGCAACGGCACAATCAACTACATGTTGGGCAAAATGGAGCAAGGCATGCCTTATGAACAGGCACTGACCGAAGCACGTGATCTAGGCTTCTTGCTGGAAGGAGATACCACAAACCTAGTAGAAGGATACGACGTACGAGCGAAAATTGCAATTTTGGCAAAGCTGGCCTTTGGTGTTACAGTATCTCCTGTGAAAAGCATCCCCTGCAGGGGCATAACAGAGCTCTCTTCCATTGACTTTGAATATGCAAAACTACTTCACTGCACCATCAAATTGCTGGGGACTGCGGGACGAATGTCAAGATTTGCCCAGTATGACGGTGCTTTATCAGTTTATGTGAGCCCTGTAATGATCCCCAATGATCACTTATTGGCGTCAACTCGAGGCAACAACAACTGTGTTGCTGTCAACTCTGGAAACATTGGTCTATGCACCTATTCAGGACCTGGAGAAGGTAGATTTCCGGCGGCAAACTCGGTAGTGGCGGACATTGTTCGAGTGGCCAACAGCAGCATGACCAGTCGACCCGCCGCCAGTGGCGCCTTTCCACTGCAGTCCACCATATCCCTGGATTTTGACTTTACTCGGGCCTGGTATATCAGGATCCCGTTTATGGATTCTATTGGCATCATCCGAACGGTGGGAGAGCTAGCAGAAGACAATGATGTATCCATACACTCCATTCTCCAGAACCCCATCCTCGATAGGATGGAAGCTGACTTCTGTCTAACCACTGAGGAATGTAAAATGTCTCAAGTGAAGGCACTTTGCGACGATCTCGAGCAGCAAGACTTTGTGCGTGGTCCTCCTTTGTTCCTGCCATTGCTGTGGGAGCATCCCTAGATCTAGCGACAAAGAACTGAATAACTCCCGCAAAGAAACACCGCCAGTCGGTCTCTGGTGTTATTGTGGTGCGGCGGTTACTGGCAACAAGCTTCTATGTAATGTTCTAGCTGTAGTAATAGTGTATCTTAGTTTTGTGTTACTATATGCATGCGCAGAAGAGGGAAAGGAATCATAAGCTACACATCGAATTTCTCCAGATCTCCCTTCCATCCAAAGGTATTGTAGCTATCCCCTCCAGTAACGGTATATGCGCTGTCAAAGGCCACATCATCTTCGAGGCTCTCGTTTTCAATGCAAGATGAGAGGTATGATCGAGCTCGCAACCGTCGCGCTGACAAGGCTCCAACGAGCAACGCCATCACTGCTACAGTACAAACAATAATGGATTGGTCTTGGGAGGTTGATTGACCCCATGACTCCGGTGTCTTGATTTTCATTTCCAAGGGAGGAGGTCCCAGTAAGTGGGGAAGAGTGGAGTTGGTGCTGTTGGAGGCTGCCATCATTCGTCTGTTGCCGTTGATGGGCTGAGATGCTCCAAACATGGGCAGGTCTGCCAAGAGCGGGGGTTCGATGAACAACTCTGTCACACCAGTCACCAAGGATGCCAGTTCAATTTCGTTACCATGTTCGTCGTAGACAACGGTAGGGGCTTGCAACTGTCCCTGTACGATGGCCTGGTTTGGTTCATAATAGAATATCTTTGGTTGCGCAGCTGATTGCGGAGGAACATCTTGTTGTTGCAGCTTATGTGGCTTTGCGTGCTTTTTGCCTCCGCCTCTAAGGTTGTTCCACCTTGACGGATGCGCAGGTCTTTGGTTTTGAACATGATTTCCCCCTCGTGGGTACATCATGATTGGTTGAGTTTCTGCTTCCGGCTGTTGCAGCTCCATCATCTGCGGTTGCTGTTGCTGCAGCTGCTGAATCATCTGCGGTTGCTGTTGCTGCTGAATCATTTGTGGTTGTTGTTGCTGCATCTGTTGAATCACTTGTGGTTGTTGTTGCTGCATCAACTGTGACTGTTGCATTTGCATCTGTGGCTGAGCCTGCTGCAAAACCACGTTTCCCTCAAGCTGTTGTTGCTGTTGCTGCATCATTTGAGGTTGCTGTATCTGTTGATACCCATGCCCTGGTTGTTGCTGGGTGAGCTGCATCATGTTTTGTCCCGCCATGATCTGTGGCTGGGCTTGCTGCATTGGAATGTTCATTTGCAGTTGACCTTGTTGCGAGTATTGTTGGAACTGCTGCTGTTGCGTTGACTGACTCTCCTTCATTAATGTTTTGTGAGCTTGTGACATAGGAATCATGTACTGCGGAGGTTGTTGTAAGCCCGAGTTCTGCACCATCTGAGTGAACTCTTGCTGGAGTTGTTGATCATTTTGAGAAGCCCCCATGGGCACGTAGACAGGAATCGGATGATCGTTAGCAGAATTCTTCTGATGATGACTAGCCAGGAATGGATGAAGGATTTTGTTTTCGGGATGCTTTTGCTGGAGAACCCGCGGCATGCCATAGCTATTATTGTTCTTGACAGTCTGTGCTTCTCTCGGGTGTCGAATGGCCACAAACGCAAGCCACATCATAACCACAATGAGCGGAGAAGCCAGTATCCCTCTCATGACCCATGGAACCCAGAACTGAGCCCCTTGACGGTTATCGTATCGTCCCCGGCGCCGTGATGAGTGTACAAAGTTCACATCCGCAAAGTGTGATGATGACGCAGCCATCGATGGACTGTAACTAGTACTAGTATTGTGAAGACCTCCGGTTGCCGGTTGAAGCGATTGACGCCACAACAAAGGAGCTTCTGGAGACGCAAAGCTATCGTTCTCGCGCTTTCTCAGCGGCGTTGCCTCGGGCGTGTGCAAGTGCGACGACTGTCCACCAGACGAAAACTGCCGAAACGAAGGCATCTCCTAGTCGTTGCGCGAGGAAACACGATGGAGACTGTGACAGGGAACTGGAGGAGCTGTCGCCAACGGATAGACGAATCTCTTGCTGCTCTCCTTGTTGGATTGATTGATCGATGCCTCGACAGCAAGCTTAGGGCTCCAACCGCAAAGTGACAGGAGACACGCACTGTATTGACTACTAGTATCTTGGTTGGTGGTGGTGCTGGCTATTTTGTCAACACACTCTCGAAGACCTCTTCCACAGCTTCTGCCCTTCACCCTCTTTGCGCATCGTTCATCCTGTCGGCTCCTCTCCTCGTCTTCCTTGCGGCGCGCAAGCCTGAGTCCCGGTCCTTAAGACAGCTTTGGAAATTTCCGTCAGCCAGACCAGTTTCCGTTGCGCGAAAACCAATGATAGGGCCCACTGTGCGTCTTTATGTTATGCCCACCCCTTCCCACGGCACCATTTTACACTTTATGGTCAAATAGTCTACCGCTACATGATAGTACAGTAGCTGGTCAATCCCACCAGTACCGGTACCGGTACGGTGGCTGAGCTGCTGAGCTACATGTAGTCTAGCTAGCTTGCAGGGAAAAATCTGCATGAAAAAATGTAAATGGATCAAATCAGTAAGCCAAATTTAAAACGGGCCAGCACCGATCCCCACGAACAGCCCAACTCCAGGACTCCAGGACCAGCATTGGCCAAACACCGGCTCTGAGGTCGTGTGTTGGACATACGCCTTCAACCAACACCAGGCCCAACGTCAGGGTCCACACCAAGCAAAGCTGGAGGAAGAGCTACGATGTACCGGTACAAGCAAACCCTCCAAAAGTGTGGAAATGATGAAGCAGTCCAGAAAACACGCAGTTTGGTTGCTGCCGAGGACATCATTTTCAGAAAAATGGAGTGCAAAACATACATACTTCAATTTTGCTGAGCATCTGCATGCATTTGAATATCTTCAAGTGGGGCTGCAGTTGCCCATGAGATGGCTGGACCTGTGCTCATGAGGCTTGCAGTGGGAGTTGGAACGTTGGGTTCAAGAGTTTGCAGGGATGATGGTGCTTGTAGAGAAGCAACTTCTGGCGTGCTACGCTGCACCAGGTAGTAGAAAGCATCCCTTCTATGGGATACCGGTAGAGCAGCAGTTTTTTGGAACTGTGAGGGGAAGTCTACGGATCTGCTCTTCATGGGAGTATTACCGGTACCGGTATGAGATGTGAGGGAGTGTAATAAGAGTGCGCAAGTTTGTTTCACAGAATGGACATTCATTCGTGCTTAAAATATCTTTTCTTTTTCTAAGAAGCTCGCCAGTACCGATAGAAAAGGGATCGCTCATTCAGTATCTCCCACCAAAAGGAAGGGATGTGTATTAACATTGCTATCCCATCAAGCGGTTGCTCAACGCAGCCATCCAACGAGTGATCATTAAAGCAACAGGCAGCTAAACCATGTCGTTGTTCGACAAGTGCGACCTTTGCTTGGAACCCTTTGAATCGAGAACAAAGAGGAACCAACATGGATATCAGGAAGACAAGCGCCCTGTCAAGTCACAAGCATGCAACCATCTTTCCTACTGCATGGAATGCTTCGTGGCATTGGTTCCCCTGGGCAAGGGCAAATGGCATCGTTGCCCAAAATGTGGTGATGAGGAAGCCTTCCTGAAAGAGAGGTTTTCACCAAATGTAGATTACTGCACTCAAATCTCTAAGCGAAGTGATCCGGCATCTGCAAAGAGCCCTACCGGTACTATAAAACAGGAGGACGAAACAGAGAAAGAGACACCGGAATCTGATTCTGATTCTGAAATCGAGGTAGTGGGAGTCATACCACCTCCTCCGCGGCGGGGCAATCCAAGGAGTGCAAAAGCAAGTGCAAAGCGACCCGCCAGTCAGCTTGACAGCATGGCAAGTACTTCTGGCAGAAGGCAGAGGACAAACTCAGCTGATTCGCCTCCCCAGAAAGTTCCTTCAGAGTCATCAGGCGAATCTACAAATGGGGGCAATGAAGAAGAGAGTGAGAGGCAAAACGAGATTGCTACTATTAAAGACGACAGTCAAGCCAGCCAACCTGAACCTGCTCCCAACGATGTTGTTTCAGCAACCCCAAACTTCGCTGCTTCAGCAACCACAAGCTTCGCTGCTTCGGCAACCCCAAATGTGGCTGCTTCAGCAACCTCTAACTTCATTGCTTCAGCAACACCAGACTTCGCTGTTTCGGCAACCCCAAACGTCGCTGTTCCATCGGCCCAAGCCGCAGCATCCAATTGTAATAACCAAAATGGGGCCCCCGATTCTCCACCGAGTGCTGCAGTTGAAGCTCCTGAAGCTGTCTCGAGTGGGGGTCCAGTGGCGGAAAGAACCGAGTCTGCCGCGACAGCCTTGCCGAGGACGGCTCCGGGGGCTGGGCCTGAAGCATTGCTTGGTGAATCGGCATCCTTGCCAAATCCAGAGGAGCTCTTTACCAAAGATAACTTCCTTTCAAACTCAACAAGCGTATTCCATATCAATCCCTTCCTTAGCAAGAGCAAAAACGGCAATAAAAAGAGCAACCAAGGTTTTGGGACCTTCATTGCAGCTAAAGCTGCCACCATTGGATTTGCAGCATATACCCAAAACTATTTGAACCTCAAGTCAGACGGGCACACAGATGAAGCCATCATCGGCATTTTGAAAGCAGACGACTATTACAACAAAAGTGCCTTTACGCAGGTGAAAATGTTTGAAAATTCAGTACGAGTTGGTGATTTTATCTTGATGAGACACGAATATCCACAGTGTCGCTTCATGCCTGCAAGGTTGCTGGGCGATGAGGGCTACATTGGCCCAGTGTATGTTTTGGGAGTTGTGACTGCTCGCCCATCGGATGGCTACAATGATGTGGTTGATTATTTCACGAAATCGCACAGCCCCACGTTCGATGAATTCACATGCCGACAATGGACTTTTTGCCGCGTACACTTTCTCAGGTGAGTAAAATACGGCAAGGCAAGGACGCTGTTCCTACTGTTGGGTGATGTCTCGTGCTCACTCTTCTTTTTTGCTCACGTTTTTCTTTCTTGTTGCCTGCCCCAGGATGGGAAAGAAGTGCGATCTGGAGGATTCCACAATCAGATACCTTTCATCTGTGTGTCAGCCCACCATTGCGCATATCTGTCAAGCCGGGAAAATCTGGAGTAAATCAAATACTAACGCTGAAGAAGTTCTCCTTGATCTATGGACAAAGGCCGAAGTGTCGATTGAGAGTGAAGAGTTCAAAGATCCGTGCAAGTTTCAGCGGCTGCAGTGAACCCACGAATTGAACCTAGAGTTTGCAATTTGCGCCCCGTTGATGTTCGTTTTTCATTGGGTGTATGCTACACAGTGTACAGCGTACTAGCTAGTCTCAGAAAATGAAACAGGCGCGGCGAAAGGATCCAATCGTAACCCAATACATTCCTCTCATTCTTGCCGATGTAGCATCCACACTGCATGCACGGTGTGGTTCAGTTCATACACGGAGCTCTTGCTTGAGCTGCATGATCCCAAGCCTCGTGCTCCCTTAATTGGGAATGGTAAAAATAGACTGCACGACCCTAAATTTTCGATTTTTTTTTTATTTTGTTCAAATCAAAAACAATTCTCTCGACGACAAAGATCGACGACGAAGATCTGTTCGACATTCGGCTGCATTGTTCGTCCACCTCACGATGGGAGGTTCCCTTTCCCGAGAAGACCAAGACGACGCCGAGAAGAAAGGATCGGTCGAACCGTGTACATCATCATGCACTCCAGGCTCCACTGTTCTTTGTCCCAAGGCGGGCCTGTACTGGTCGTATCTGCCCGACTTTTACCAGGCATGTGGCGGCCGTGACAGATTGCAAGGATTAAGCACCCATCAAGTGTGTGAACAATTCGTCAAGCCCATGGTGAAACAAGGAGACCAATCGTTTTGCGAATGGCTAGAATCGCAACAGCATCCATCTGTGGCGGCCCAGGCGGCCGTCTTTATTTGTCATGATTGGCAGAGCGAGTTTTTGAAAATTATTGAGTCTTTGGAATGTCATTTTGGCCCAGCAGCATCTGACGGCAGCAATGACGATACAAGTACACGTCATAAAAGACCCATCATTTGGATGTCTCTCTTTTCGCTTAATCCACACAAGCAGTACAGCAGTCTCGACAATCCACAGTGGTTTCACTCACTTCAATCCACCATTACCGAAATTGGACGAACAGTAGTAGTCATGGTCCCTCATCCGAGCATCACTCCCAATCATCCACCCCTCCTCGCCCCTCCCATTACCCGCGCTTGGTGTTTGCTGGAACTGTATTTTACAGGTGCCGTAACGCCTTTGGAGTTTGCCATGACGGAACATCAAAAGAAACAATTCTTCCAAACACTGATAGAACACGATCCAAATGACATGCTCCACCAAATACAGGCTCTCATTGACATGGAGCGCAGTCACGCATCAGTGGCACAAGACAAACAAGCCATTCTACGACACATCATGCTGCAAAGTATGGGCATGGCACCCGCCAATGCATTGGTATTGGATCAGTATCGAAACTGGGTCATTGCCACTTGTCAACAGGCTTTGAACGAATGCGACAACGATACCGAACTACTACAACTTTACAATGTCATGGGCGAACTATATCGGCATCAAGGAAACTACGTGCGAGCCGAATGTCAGTTGGAACGATGCTTCCAAATATCGTTTCAATTCGACAAGAAAAAACGAAAAGAACTCCAACCCGAAATATGCAAGGCAATGCATAATCTGGCTCGACTGTATCACAAGCAAGAACATCATGCCGAAGCAAAAACCTTGTTGGAAGACTGCCTCGCACAACGCAAAAAGTTGCTCGGGCCATCTCATCCCGATACGCTGTCGTCCATCAATCTACTCGCCAACATTTTGCTCCGTCTGGGAGGCGACCATCAACAAACAAACCATGCAGCCGCCATGGCGCTATATGACGACTGTTGGAACCAACGAAAAACCGTACTGGGGGGAAATCATCCTGCCACATTGGCAAGCATGCACAATAGGGCTGCGATTTGGCTGGATCGGCATAAGTATGACAAGGCAGAACCACTGTTTGAAGCCTGCCTCGAGAAAGAACTACAGCTATTGGGGCGGTATCATCCGCACACATTGGTGACAATGGACAACATGGTAATCACGTATGAACGCAAGGCAAATACCAATGTGTTGGCGCAGTCGTCAAAATTAGATTGATTGATTGATGTGTGTTCGGCTGTGGAGACAATACATGTACAACAGAGGGAATTGCTGGTGATACAACAACAACAACAACTAGCTAGCGTGCTGTCGATTCGTGGTAACATGGAGGGAGGACAGCTTGGGCTACTCTTACTTAGTTAGCAAATACCGGTATAGAGCATGCATAGATCGAGCTAACATTAGAAGAAAAGATTTCCATTCCACAAGAGAACTCACTACCGGTACAGCTACCGGTACCGGTACGGGTGTGGCGTTCTCCCTCCATGGCCCCATACCGTAGACAGGTGCCAACTGTACCATGCTACCGGTATGTTTACCCTACGATTTCACTCCACAAGAGAACTCACTAAACGTAGCTAGCTAGGCCGCCGGAGGTACTCGTTGCTGTTTCCCTTTGGCTCGTCAACTGGCATTGTCATACCGTACCGTACTGTAAGCCATGTAGCGGTAAAGGCAAAAACAAATCAGCTGTTGCGATGCATCAAGATTGGCCATTCGTCGTGGTACCGGTAGAGACATCACCCTTCCAAAACCAATAGGCTCAAACTTCCCTTCCGTCCGTGTGCACACGAGGCATCTTTGACGAAGAGCTACACAGTATTCTTCAAAACTCTGTTTAGACGCTTTTGTTTACTAGTAACATGTATTATATATGGATGCATGGATCACACTACGTCTTTCTTGTTGGGTAGCTTCCGCCCCCGCACACAGATCCATTATGAGGAGCAAACTCTGGTGGTGTCCACCCTTCATTCTGATGGTGCGGTGCGCGAGACACTGTATCATCATTGTTGTCTTGAATCAAATTCAATCGTACACTACAGAACAAACTGCAAAACAGACGAGAAACAATGGGAGCAGTAAGGTTAGGACTCGAAGCGAACAACGGCATTTGACAGCCAGCCGCTCGTGAAAGGGAATCAACTCACTGGATTGTGGAACATCTCAATGCCGTCTTCCAAGGGAATCACTCCTGTACGCTGTTCGTTGCGAGTGCTGTCGTCGTCAAGGTCTTCGCAGCTGCTCATTCTTGTTGACGCATCCACGGAGCTATCGTTAGACATGTTCTCTTCGAGGTTGCAGGAATCTCCTTCCGAACTGTCTTTAGAACACGTTTCTTCGTTTCGTGGTGATGATGGAACCTCTTCGTCGTCCCTTGTTTCGTCCTCGTTGACGACTATGGTTGCGGTATCAGCTGACATTGCTGATTCTTTTTGCAATGGCGTTGTTTGTGCCTCTTTCTCGCCCTCTTCTTCTCCTAGCGCTGGCTCGTCTGGCTCTTCTTTTGTTCCTTCAGGGGTTTCCGTGATTTCCTCTGCAGTTGTTGTGGTTGTCACTACGTCGTTCGTTGCATCCCGAGTTGTTTCCATTGCTGCTTTCACGTCTGTTTCGTCTGTTTCAACTGGCTTCTCCGCCGGTCCGGTGGCCACCGTCGTCTCTTCTTCGGCCACCGTCGTCTCTTCTTCGGCGCTGTCGTTTTGCCGTTGTTCATCATTGTCGACAGGATCTGCTGCTTGATCCGCGCATGCCACATTTACAGCTTGATCCGTTCGATCTTGAGGCTCGGCTTCGTCTTCGTCGCCGTCTTGGGCATCCTTTTCACCCTCGACACGATGCACTGGAGAATCGCCCTCGTCGGTGGGTGCCTCTGGTTGGGTCGTTTCTTCCAAAGTGGACATAGGTTCTGCGTCTCCGTCGTCACGTGCCTCTTTATCCTTTGCCTCGTCTGATGGTAGCGTCGTCTCCTCGTCCGCCACTGACATAGATGAAGCTGTTGCTACAGATTCAGACCACTGTGTCAATAGCGCCTGATACGCATCCATGTGTTCTGCGAACTTGCGTCCTTGGCGTCGAAGCAGGCTGGCCATCTTCTTGCTACTCTTGCATGCCTTGCTGAAGAATTCCTCTTGACTCCCGCTGTCCTTCAGGAATGTGGCGCGAGCCTCGGACGCTCGAACCAAGTCATCTTCGTGAATCGATGCTTCGTGCACAATCTGTTGTTGCTGTTCCGCCATCTCGTCCACTACCTTAGCAGCGCCAACCAAGCTATCGCTAAGACTTTGGATCGTGTACTCGAGCGTTTGCTTCTTGCGCTGTACTTCGACCCTCGACTTGTTCAAGAACTCAGCGAGCTCATCCTTTTCCTCCTTCAGGGACTTCACCTGCGCCTCAGCAAGTGCCGCACGGGCTTGAGCACTGGCCCATTCAGCCTTGAGCGACGAGTTCTCTTTGCCCTGTTTCATGACAGCAAAACTCCACTGTCGCAATTTCTCATGGCTGTCCTTCATGTCCTCGAGTTGCTTGGAGGCGGAGGCATATTCAGCGCGTACACTATCAAGTTCCATTTGCAGTGCCATGACCGCCTTGTTTGTTGTTTCGTCGTCATCAGGCTTCTCGCTCTCGCTGATGATCTTCTCATACTTGGCTTCAAGTTCAGCGACATGTTGCTTTGCTGAATCTCGAGCTGCTTCCAGATCAGCTTGAAGTGTAGCGCGCTCAGCCTCGAGACTTGCAATGCGGGATCTCAGAGTAAGCTCGACATCCGAATTCTTCCCTCTCTGCCCGTACTCGCGTGTAACGATGTTATCGTGCTCGAGACGAAGGTCTGTAAACTCCTTTTCAAGTTCGTCGTGTTTGGTTTGGAGCTCTTCAAGCTTTTCTTCGCAGGATTCGATCTCTTCCCGGAGTCTGGTGTTCTCAGTCTTGAGATTTGCTTCGAGCTTGCGCTTGCTCTTGCTTTCCTCCTCCATTCGGAAAACCTTGACCCGCATTTCTTTGAGCTGTTCGTCGGTTGCCTTCTTTGACTCTTCCAAAAGTGATGTGTCGTCTTCGTGCTGTTCTCTTGCCAGCTCGAGATCAACTCGAAGCGTTTGCAGATTGTCTTGGAGCGACTTGATCTCTTTCTTTAGTGCTGCTTCAGCTTCCTTCTTTGTCTTGATATCATTCTTGTACTTGAGTACCTTTGCCTTCTGATCCTTGAGTTGGCCTTCGTATATCTCCTTCATCTCATCAGCCTGTGCTGTGCCAGCCTCGGAGCCAGCCACAGCTACCTCGAGCTTTTCTTTCAGAGTGGCCTGCTCTTGCTTCAGCGAATCAATTTCGAGCCTGAGAGCTTTGCGTTCATCGTCACTCTTTTTGAAGGCATTTTTGTGATCCTCCTTGGTTTGCTTCAATGCCTTTTCGAGTGCCTCGCGCTCCTCGTGGAGATTGAACAGCTCCGTTTGAAGTTCATCCTCCGCCTCTTCACTCTGCTTCCTGATTTCCTCCAGGTCGACGTTGGAGTTTTTGACAGTGCCTTGAAGGAACTCAATTTGTTCTTTTTTCGTCTTGATGTCGAGCTTGTACTTGACCAATTTCACACGAATTTCCTTGAGCTGGTTTTCGTAAAGGTCCTTCAGCTCGTCTGCTTGCTTGCAAAGTGCGACGTAGTTTGAATTGGACTGTTGGAGCTCCTCTGTCAAGGTAGCCTTCTCTTTCGTTAACAATGCATTCTCGGCCATCAGCGTCTTTTGTGATTTCAGCTGCTGCTTCAGTGTTGCTTCTTGTTGCTCCTTGGCATTCTTCAGTGCCAATTCCATCTCTTCTTTCTCCTCGACGATGTTGAACAATTCTGATTGGAGCTCATCTTCCACCACTTCGGTTTGTTTCTTGATCGTTTCCAGATCTTGGCTTGTGTTCTTGACAGAACCCTGAAGGTAATCAATCTGTTCGGTGAGGCTTGTATTGTCGGCCTTGAGGTCGTCGATGATACGATTGAACATGTCAGTGTCCTCTTTGTATATACCCTCGGTTCGCTTCAGCATTTGTTCCAGAGTATTCTTTTCATCCGTGACGACCGCAAGTTCTGCCTGGAGCGAGGTCTGCATATGCTCCAACGTATCCAAAGTCTCCTGGTACTTCTGCTCGGCCTTTTCGAGTTCACTCGCTGCAGTGTCGGTGCCGTGCTTGGCTTCGAAAATTCGTTGATCCATTTCAGTTTTTGCCTTGAGAGCTGCGTCTCTTTTTCTTTCTGCCTCCTCCAAGCATTCCCTCAACTCTTCGTTTTCCTTTTGAAGATTTTCGAGCTCTTCAGACAATCCATTTTCCACTTCATTTATTTGTCTTTCGAACGACTTCACCTTGGCTTCAGAAATCTCCAAAGTCTCTCGTAGGACTTGATGTTCTGCTCTGTCGGCCTCGATGACACTCCTTTGAGCGTTGTAGCTGTCGATAGCGTTCTGCTGTTGCTCTTCTGCTTCTTTGAGCTGTTCTTTCACGGCTTCATTCTCCTCAGTCAGGGCAGCAATTTCATACCTCAAAGTGTTCTCGATGTCATCGATGTTTTCGAAGGCATCGCGATGCTTCACCTCAGCTTGCCTCAAAGCTTCCTTCAAAGTTTCATTTTCCTCCCACAGCGATTCATTGTCTGCCTTCAGCGTGGCTTCAATGTGATCAATGTGGTCCGAGGCCTCGACTTGCTTGTTTTCTGCAACGCAGAGGGAGTCCAAAAGCTTTTCGTTCCCGTATCGAAGATCCTTTATCGTTACTTCAAATTCCATTTCTTTCGCTTCGAGGTTCTTCAGCGCCAAGTCTAGGTCGCCTTCACAGGTTTCGAGATTAGTCTGGAGCTGCCTAATTTCATCTTGGAACTGGGAGTTTTCATTCTTCAAGGCCCTTTCCGTCGCCGCCTTCTCCTTGAGATCTTCCAGGAGCTTTCCAATCTTCGCTGTCAGCTCTTGGTGTCGCTTGTCATGTTCATCCTTGAGCGCTTCGATTTCACTTGTCGCCGCCGTGACCTGGTATTCCATGTTCTGCAATTCTCGACCATGCTGCTCGGCTTGCACGGTCTTCTCCTTGATTAGGATTTGCTTCTCATCCTGTAGCTGTTCGTGTGCATCCTTAAGCGAGGCGAGGGAGTGCTGCATCAAAGATAGGTCAGCTTCCAGTACCGAGATCTTGGCCTGATGTTCGTTTTGGTTGTTCTCGTTGGCGGCGCTAAGGCTGGCAATATCGTCTTTGGCAGCGTTGTACTGGCTCCTGGTATCTTCGAGCTCTTCGTTCAACTGCGTAATGCGAGTGGAAGCTGAGATGAACTCACCCTCAATCATCTTGATGGCATCCTCCATGTTTTCCATTTCTTCCCTCGCTGCGGCATTCTCGTTTTGCACTCGTTCCAAGTTGGCTTGCAGATCATCCCTCTGATTCTCGAGGCTCTCGATTTGCTCTGTAAGTTGGGTCTTGAGATCATCGTACTGCTCGGAAAGTTCTTTGATCTTGGTGTCCGCTACATCCAATGTTGCCGTTAGTTGCTCCTTCTCCTCTTGCATGTGGGTAATTTGGCTCTCAAAGTCCCTTGTTGAGTCGCGCAATTCCGTCTGCAAGCTATCGTTGGACTTTTCGGCAAGCTCAAGTGATTCTTGCAATGTTTGATTTTCTTCCCAAAGCTTAGCGTTTTCTGACTTAGCCGCGTCTTCAATTTCGTCAAGCTCCTTGGCAACGGACTCGACTCGCTCCTCCTTCTCTTGGATCGCGTCTTCAAGTTGAGCATTGAAAGTGCGAAGAGAACTGATTTCGGCACCCAGAGATGTTTTCATTTCATCACGTAGTGTCTTGATCTCTGCCAAACGCTTGGCTGAGTCTTCTAAAGCTTCTTTCAATGCTTCTTTGTCCTGTTCTAACTCTTCGTTGACTCTCCTGGACTGCTCAAGGTCGTGTGCAAAAGCCGAGTTTTCGGCACGGACGGTGCTGATCTCTTTGGAAAGAAGATCTTCCACTTCGTTCAGCTGACGCCGAAGGTCGTCTTGCGTGGAATCCGCGTAATCGAGAGCATCTTGTAGAGACTTTCTCTGCCTTTCAAGACCTTCGACCTCCCTTTTTGCCTTTGCAAGGCTAGCGCTGAGACCCCGCACTTCCTCCCGAAGTGCAGTTACTTCAGCGTTCAAGTTCGACTCAATTCCGTCGCAATGCTTTTGTAGCTCCTCGTGGCGCTCTCGCGAAAGCTTGAGAGAAGCCTCAAGGGATTCTTTCTGCCTCTCCACTGATGCGACCTTCCTGTGTGCCTGTTCCAAATCGTTTTGGATAGTGCCCTTTTCGTTTCGAAGGCTGTCAAGATCGGCCATGAAGTTCGATTCCATCTCCACCATCTGAGCACGAACCTCACATGCCTTTGATTCAGAAGAGTTAAAAGAATTTCTCAGTCGCTCTTTCTCATCACGAAGCTTCATCATCTCAGACGTCATCTCTGCCTCCATTTCGTCCAAGTAGTTTGTCGCCGCCTCGTGTTTGGCCTCTGCGAGAGCAAGGGCGTGCTGAAGAGATTCCTTTTCATCCTCCAAGGAACTCTTGGCTTCCTTCAGAGTCTTCTCGATTGCAGCGGCACGATCGCAGGCCCCATGGTGCCTGGCCTCGGTATGCTTTATGCGCGCTTCAAGCGAATCCTTCGATTCTTGAAGGGCAGCAACGTCCCTTTCATAGCCCGATTTCAATTCTTGCAGCTGAAGCTTCAATTCGTAGTTTTGCTTCTCCGTTACTTCGAGGGTGACTTGCATCGAGACCTTATCTTCTCGAAGATTTGCACATTCAGTCCTTAACATAGATTCTGCCTGTGCTCTGCTCTGGCTCTCGGCTTCAAGGGTAATTAACTTCAGCCTTAGGTCCTTCTGCTTGGTTTCCTTATGAAGCAAGTCCTCCATTTGCTTGTTGGACGTCGTTATTCTCGACTTCATTTCCACAATGGTGGCCTCAAGAGATTCATTCTCCTTGTGCAAGGTGTCTGTATCCATTCGCAAGCAATCGGCCTCTTCAACAGCGTCTCTCAGGTCCCGCTCGAAGTTTGACTTTGCTACAGCAAGTTCTCGTTGCACATCCTCCAACTTGAATCGAATCTTTTCAGCTTGGTTGTAATGTCCATCTCTTTCTTCTCGAATTGCTTCCATGGATGAGTGAAGTGCAGCGTTCTCCTCCAATAGATTGGAACACTCGTTCTTCAGTGCCGATTCAACTTGACCCTTACTCTTGACCTCAGCTTCAAGTGTTAAGAGCTTGAGACGGAGTTCCTTGTTCCTGTTGAATGGGAAGCATTGCTCTTCGGGTGCAACATCAGAAGATTCCTTTAGCATCCCCAACTGTTCCTGAAGGGCCACCTTTTCTTGGGTAAGAACTTCAAGTCGGGATTCATTCATTGATTCGGCATCCTTGCGCTTCCTCTCCTCTCGTGAAATCTTTGATTTAAGGTCATTGTTTTCCCGAGTTGCTTCAGCCTGTTGCCGCTTGGCTACTTGAAGAGAACTCTGAAGCGAGTCTCTTTCTGCCTCCAGTTCCACAACTCTTTTGCGAAGTCCTGAAGCGTCGTCGGCACGCTTCAACCCACCTCTGGATTGTTCAAGCTCACTCCTGTTCTTCCAACTTTGCAGCTCTGTGGCCTTGCTCTTCCACTCGGCAGCCTTGCTCTTCCAATCTTCCAATTCTGCCTGCTGGTTCTTGTTGTTGGCCGCCTCTTCCGCCTTTTGTTTCCACTCAGCAATTCGTTCTTCGTAGTTCCTCTCGAGCTCATCGATTTGAATGTTCACCTTCGTCGCATGGTTCTTTTCGAATTCCTCATAGTCACTTTCCAACAACGCCTTTTCCTTCTTTAGAGCCTCTGTTTCGTTCTTGAGAGTTTCTGTCTCCTCCCTGAGTTCAGCCTCGACGTCCGTGCGGATCTTCTTAGCGTCGTCCTCCAAGCGCATGCATCGTCGAACCCAAGTCTGGAGCCTGTCGTCAAAACTCTTTTTCATTTCTTCAATTTGGGCGTTGGCCTCTTTCAAAGTCTCCTGAGTTTGTTCAAGAGAACCTTTCAGTTCTTCAGACTCCCGCTGCAGGCGATTGTTTTCAACTTTCAAGGAGGTTTCTACCTGACCAGAAGCCGACGACTGCTCCTTCAACTTTGCATCCAGGTGTTTCACCTTGCTTTGGAGATTGCGTCTTTCGTCGCTCTTGCAAGTCAAAGCATCCTCCAACTCGTGGACATGTTCGGCCAATACTTCGGATTTGCCTTCCGCCTTGGCAAGTTCTTCCTTGAGGTTCTCGACGAGAAAGGTCGTTTCCCTAGCCTTGGCTTTCTCTTCGCGGTGCTTTCCTTGTAAAAACCTGGCATCTTGTAGCGCCAAATTATTCGACTGAGTAGTCTCAACGGCCTGCACGCTGCTGCTTTCTCCACCTTCACCGGTTGTGCCCATGGTAAGCAACTGCAAGTAGATATCACGAATAGGAGACTTGGAAGATCGAGCCACGTCAAGGGGAGTACGTCCCTTTCGGTCTTTAACGAGGACAGAGCGAGGGTACGCATTCAAGAGAAGAACCACTGTCTTTTCAGCTGCATCATTGCGGAAGGCAAGATGAAGTGGCAACATGCCCTGATCGTCGCGCTCTTCAGCCGACAAAGGGTATGCGCTGAGCAATGCTTCTACAACATTTTCCGGTGCTTTGAAGATCATCGCTGCATGGATGGGCAAAAGCCTCCAACGAAGCGTGCCATTATCTTCGACACGAGATACCCAGCACTTTACCTCGTCAGGATGACTCCGTGCTCGGGTGATGGCCTTGGTCCATTCCTTTTTAAGGAGAGAAAGGTACACCTCGGTAGGGTTCTTGTCAAAATCACATTCCAATGCTTTCTCCCCATCGGGTCCATTCCTTGTGTCAGTCGGCTCTCGCTCACCCTCACCACTTCTTCGCATTGCCTCGTCTCTTGCCTCATCATGAGGGGCGTCTGTCTTTTCAGATGTTGTCGTTGACGCTGACGCTCCACCCCACAAACTCGTGCTGGTCCATTTCCCGATGGTACGGAGCACAGTGCCTGCCTCTTGCTTGGCAGATTGCTCCATTGCCTTCACTCGATGTTCTTCGGCTCTTTTTCTAATAAATATTCTAACAAAAAATTCAACAAAGCAGCTGCACGTCCGCTGCAGAAATCTTTGGCGGGAGAGAGCACTCCTTAGTACAGCAATCCAAGCTCTCGGCAACTAAATATGGCCTCGCAGACCCAATCACCAAGTGCTCGCTCACCCGCTAACAACAGGCAAAAGAAGGCAAAATGTGAGTAGTTCAGCGAGAGGCAAGATTGTCGCCCGGTGATCGGGACAAACATGCGGTTCGGGGCTTTCGTGTAGGAGTCAAAGAACCCTAAGAAGTTCTTCGGTACCACTTTGAAAAGGTTAACCGTACGGTAAACCAGCGAAGTCGCTAATTGATGTCACGGAAGGGTTTTCAGATCAGCTGTGCGATCAAGTACCTGGACCGGTACCAGTACAGGTACAGTACCCGCACGCGGATTTGATTGCCTTTTTGTCTTACTGAAGCCCGTCAAGTGGCAGTGAAAATTCATGGGAAACACCAATCACCAATGGCATCCAAAGGGGAACCTGCGTCCAGGGCGACTGAGCCCCCGTTGATGGCAGCTGTAAGGATGTCTGTACTAGTACTCAATTCTCCAGTCTTCAATAGAGCTGCTGCTATATGGGCGCCTCCCACAACGGCACAAGCTTCTGGACAGTCTCCTGCACTCGAAGGAAACGGCCATGTGCTGTTTTAAGGAAAGCAAACCGATCCACAACAACACAACTCTGTGCCCTGGCGTTGCCGGACAGAACTCAGCACATGTGTTAATAATAATATGGTCATAGTTCTAATAGCTATTCTAATAGGGAATCTACAGCACGCTAGGTGATGCCAGCTTGAAAGTATGCAGCCATAGTGCCGGGGGGGGGGTCAAGAGGTTCCACATGGGAGCCTGGAGCAAAGGTGTCAGCTAAGACATGGGTGGGCTGGCACCCAGAGCAAACTGAAATTTGGATGATGCGGATGGTATGACATGGTGAAGGTGGTCGGCGAGGTGGGTACCAGTAGTCATATATAAAGCCTGTGGTTGGTGGGCCCATCAGCTGGGAGACCAGGGGGCAGAGGTGGAAATGTGTGGAGAGAAGTGTTTGGTAGCACGTGGGAGCAGAGCTTTGGGAGCAGAGTGAAGTTGGTTATGAGCAGTTTGAGCAAATGGGCGGGGGAGGTTGTGTGCCAAGATGCAGGTGTGGGCGGCATTGGAAGGTTCATTGGGTGCCATACTGTGGAGCCATGCTTTGTTTTGGGTTGCTGCATGTTCTGCCAGCCTCTCCAATCGATCGGGTCACGTGTTGTTGACCCATTTCAGACGTGGTTATTTTCAAGTACGTGTAATGTCTTTCGGCAAATTGAATACATGGTTTACCACGTCTTTGATCCCAAAAAGAGACAAAAAGTTCTCATTTTGCTTCGGGAAGAAGGGAAAGCTCCCAATTCTGTTGTGGAAGGTGTCCTCGGACAAGGCAGTATCAAGAATTTGAGGCATTTTGATACTAAATTGACGTTTTGCGGTTAAATTTGTAATTGGTTGTTTCTAACAATTCGAAAGGACTCAAAAGTGTCAATTCATTTATTCTGTTAATTATATCATTGTTGTTGTAATTAATTTGTTGATGTTTTGATCTTCCAAAAAGTCAAAATAGTCAAACCAAATCAAAATTAAGTCTTGTTCTCTGAATTGCTCAAAACCTCATCAAAATGCCTCAATTCCGCATGCGCTCCAAGATAAGATTTCTACAGAGATCTGTTGGCTGACAGCTGGAAGGGAGATTGCTTCGTTATATCATCAACTCACCTTAGCTTTTTCTGTGTTGTAATCATGTTCACCCCCAGTTTTGATTGGTTGGTTCAGACCGTGTTATCCAATGCCTTACCTTGAGAAAGAAGCAACGAACACTGTCTTTTTCGAGGAGTGGACCGTCATGCATGGCAACCAACAACCGACCTCATTGTCAACAACTAACACATCCATGCATCCGACACAATAGTCTCAGAATCACAACCGGACTGTGGCCCATCCAATTGCTGGTTACTTGTAGAGACAAGAGAAAGCTGGCCAAAGTGTGGCATGGTTTCAAGGTTTGCTGGAAACTGATTGATAGATATCTTATTAGCCTTGCAGTTAAGACAAGGGTAGCAAAAGCTTCTCGGACAAGAAGGATTCGGTTGGACCGTTTGGTGCCGACACTCTCTCTGTCCTTTACGGACAAGAACCACATCGATCGTGACATCCACTGATCATACCCGTACCACAAAGCCGACCATCATGACTGATAGGAGTCGCAGCAACCATACGAATGGCGACGGAAGCGTTCTCTTACCGTCACCTTCTCGAAAATCGTGGAGAAAGTTTGGCACTTCTGGGAGAGCTCGCTCCATGGGGAGCATGGCTGCTTTAGGGCAGGCATCTCCTTCGCCTCGACCTCCATCGCCTCCGCTAACACTAGCGTCAGGTAGTCCGAGTGGATCCACCAAGGTACCCATCAGCCCTCTGGATACCCCACCCAGAAAAGTCTGGGAGAACAACTTTCGGTCCTTCCTTTCCAAGCGTTCCAACCAGCCACAAGATACCACTGCCTTTCCTGAGGTCCCTCTCATGGCTCCGATGCAACATGCTAAGACACATCCACAATCTACGCAGCAGTCGTCAAAATCCAACAACGGAAATAACGGCGGCGCTAATGAAAACTCAGATCATTCCGTCCGTGGAGGCAAGTTCTTTCACTCGATATTTGGTGGTGGTAGCAGCTCAAAAGATCCCAACAAGTCAAGTAGAAGAAAAACCAAGTCTTTAAATGAGCTAGACGAGCCCATGAGGAATGGAAAGGATAAGAACTACAGCCCGAGTAGCGCTCAGCACAAAAGAGCACAATCCCAACGCATCGTCAGTGCACCTAAACTCGATGTTTTGGATCAAACGCTAAGAAGGGCTAGCTCTGCTGGTACCAGCACTGGTTCGATTGTTCCTCCACCCAGACATCCTCCAATAGCTCAGTCACATCAGTATCAACAGCCTCAAGTACATCAGCATCATCTGATACCTCCCATGCAACACACCCAACTTCAGCTTTCTCAACAACATGCCAGCTTGCACTCTTATCCTAACGCGCAATCTACTTCTACCTATCATTTACCTTATGCACCACAATCACCGCTGCATCAACAGTATCAGTATCAATATTACCAACAACAATCATCATCATCATCATTACAACCTGAAGCGTTGCCCACCCCGCAGCAGCAGCATTCGATGCAGTCTCCCGTCACATCGGGTTCTACTTCCTATCATTCCATGTCACCCAGCTCGGCTACTACTGAAATCAAAAAAGCATTTACAGAATTCCACAACTCCTCGCTGTATGCCAGGGACTCCACTTCTGCCTACTTGGGCGATGAACCTAGCACACGTCACGGAGATACACCACACTACACCACCTACAATCCGGGGTTTCTCCGTAAGACAATGGCTATTGATGGCATGGTGGTCAGGTTGCTAGCTGGCTTTTTTTGTTATTGTCCTTCTCACTTCGCTGTCTGTTTCATGTTCTTTCTCTTCTCTCCAGCCCAAAACAAATTTTATTCAGGATCACATCAACAATCGTACCACTCGGGTGCCAATGGAAGTATGGGCAGTGGCAGTGGCAGCAGCCATCATCGCTTCATGAGCTCATCATTGCCCACTGTTGATGAAAATGTATCGATTCACAAGTCCATGCGAATGCTCAGGCCATTTCAAATGGTCGATACTTGGCAGGCAGGTAGGCGCTATCTCATTGGCCCAGCAGCACTGGCCACTTGTCCATTGCTGCAGGGTGTTACGTCGATCTCCTTGTCCAGGTCCAGAAATGCCAGCGGTGCACGGTATGGATCAGAAGGACAACAACCTACAGAAGAGAAAGACGGGGACGTTGTCAGCAACAATCCAACTGATCCTGCCGGGTCGCAGCACTCCTTCTCTTCTCCCCCTGAATTGCCTCCGTTGTTTGGTTGTATTGTTCTTGGAAAGGCGCTTTTGAGCTATGTCGTTCAAGAACCAATCCAGCATCAGCAGCAACGGTGGTGGTCAAGTTGCATCCTCATCCTGCGCCAGAACTATCTGCTAGAATATGACGAACAAACTGGAGATATCCTTCAAGGGCTACCCAGAGGATATGCCCATCTTCAGCACTCATCAAGCTACGCTCACCCAGACTTTCTCGACGCGTTAGAGTTGGAGTTCTTTGTCAGTCCATGCGCCAAAGCCGACAAACGAGTGGTGAGTAGCGCTTCAATGTGTTGTTGTTCGCTTGGGAAATGATAGTTTGCAGAGGGCACTCACAGTCCTTAAATCTGCTCGAATAGCTGACGATACGACTAGAAGAGGACAGAGAGAAACGTGCTGACTGGATTTCTTGCCTCAACAGAGCGGCCCGTCTTTCCATCCAGGACCTGTATGACTATGAGGAGGCAGATGAAGTTGGGCGCGGTAGATACGCAATGGTTTACTCCGCCAAACGTCGACCACACATGGATCAGCAGCAGGAAGGCAGCGATGACTGCGCCCTGAAGATAATTGACAAGAAAGAATTTTGGCGGCGCGTCGTCAAGAATAAAGAACGAGCAGACACCATTGTTCGCGAGGCATCAGTTCAAGCAACCATGACAACCAAGTGTTCGAAAATACCCCCTTTTGTCCGTCTGCGCGGGTTCTTTGAGACTTCCGACCACCTAGTCCTTGAGCTAGAGCTGCTCGAAGGCATGGATCTGTTCCAATACGTTTCCTCAAGGGGCGTTCTCCCAGAGAAAGAAGCAGCTCTCATCCTTCGAGACATCCTCTCGGTCTTGGACGGAATGAACCGCGCTGGGTTGGCACATCGCGACATTAAACCGGCCAACCTTCTCATGTGCAAGACAAACGCAGACAGCAGCAACTCATCGGAAACGAAAGCTTCCTGTGTTGTTAAAGTTGCAGATTTTGGAATGGCAACCTTTGTTGGCGTGGATGGGTTGGTCCGCGGCAGGTGTGGCACCCCAGGGTACGTTGTCGTGATGTGTGTCTTGGCGACAGTCGCAGTGCCATTAGCTAATATCTTTTGTTGTGTCGTGTCCAAAGGTACGTGGCCCCAGAAATCTTTTCCGCTGGTCTTCACGGCGGTTACGGGAATAAGGTGGATGTCTTCTCAGCGGGCGTCACTACGTACGTGATGCTCTGTGGGTACGAACCATTCTATGGGGAGACCGATGAAGAATTGGTAGCTGCCAATAAGGCTGCTAGGGTTGACTTCCCGGACAACGATTGGCGCAATGGTGAGAGATCTTGAGTATGGCATAAATGCAATTGCAAAAGTTGGAAGCTCACATTGATTTAATTCCCAACCTATAATAGTGTCATCTGAGGCCAAGGACCTGGTCAAGAGAATGATGGAACCAGATCCAAGGCGAAGGTTGAGTGCCCGAGAGGTTTTGAGCCACCCGTGGATAGTTACGCATGCAGGCACTACTGACAGCGCTGATGTGTTCGGGCACAGCGGAGTGGACGCCCTGAGCCACTCCCTTCACAAAAGGGACAATACTTGCGTGATCAGTTAGTTTTTCAATCTGGAAAGCAATCTGTGCTACCGTACAGAAGTTTTTACATTTTTGCTTATTTTTGAAAAGGAGATCATTCAAAGGAGCTTGCCCGTTGGTACTTTGCATGCAAACAAGTTCCGGTGCACCTTTTTGTCGGTGCAGCAAGTACTATCTAGTACCGGTAACAGGCAATAGCTAGAAGTAGTAGTTTATGCAATACGAGATTGTACCGAAGAAACGATGGACTCCTTGGATAGAACCTTCGGTTTCCTTTCCACAAAAAGGGTAGCTACTAGGCAGCGACATCCGCAACACTGATCTGCTTAGCTTTCCCCGACATGTTTGTATCTATGCGGAATTCGAAGCACGGTTCCAATAGCCATGGAACAGGCAGAAGCACATTTGGTCACGGAAAAATTGGTGGCCGGGAAGGGGCGTAAACGAAAAGTAAAGGCAAAGCAGACGATGGAATGCCCACTCAGTACAAGTGGAGGCGAAAGAGAAAGAGGTAGACGTGTAGCAAGTTAAGTTAGTTGGATTGAGAAATACCAGTGCCTCTGGTTTTTAGCGTGCCGTTACTTTTGTTGCTGGCATCGGTACTGATCCTAGTAGTCTCCATCAGAATCTTCGCCCAAGGGGGAATCATCAGATTCTTGGCCCAAAAGAAACTCACCATCAAAGTACTCCTCCAAACCTGGGCACCCCTTGCTATGCAGATACTTTAACATTTCCATCTGTCCCCACTGGTAGCCCAGAGCAGCATAGCTTGAGTCTGCATCCCAAGGACAGCCATGCTCATGTAGATACTTTAGAATCTCCAACTTTCCACGCCTAGCAGCCTCACGGCATGCGTATGCATCCCAGGGACAGCCAAGCTCATGAGCATACTTCAAGATGTCCAGATGCCCTCCGCTAGCAGCAGAAGAGCATGTGTCTTTGTCCCAGGGGCACCCATTTTCATGTAGATATTTCAGAACATCCAAATGGCCATTTCGAGAAGCATCACGGCATGCCGTCTCATTCCATGGACACCCATTTTCATGGGAAAGCATCAGAATCTCCAAATTTCCACGGCTGGCAGCCTCTCGGCATACTTCTTCATCGCAGGGGTACCCATTTTCAAGTAGATACTTCATAATGTTCAGATGCCCGCCTGTAGGAGCAGCAGCACAAGCGCGACGGGCCCGATGGCACCCATTTACCCATTTTCGTGAAGATACTACAAAACATCCAAATGGCCATTTCTGGCAGCATCAAAACATGCATTTTCATCCCATGGACAGCCATGTTGATGAGCATACTTCAAAATGTGCAGATGACCCCTTTCGGCAGCCGCACTACATACATTTTCATCCCATGGACAGCCATTTTCATGCAGGTACTTCAAAGTGTGCAGATGACCACTTGGAGCAGCATCATGGCATGTCTTTTTATTCCACAGGGCACCATTTTCATGGGCATACTTCAGAGCATCCAAATGGCCAGTCATGGCTGCCACAGGGCATGTCTGAGTGCCCCAGGGGAACCCATTTTCATGGGCATACTTCAGACTAGCCAAATTGCCGTTGCAGGCAGAAGCTCGGCAGGCCGATCCATATTTATCCCATGGACAACCATGTTGATGAGCATACTTCAAAATGTCAAGATGCCCACCACCACCAGCAGCCTCACACACTCCATCGTTCCAGGGGCATCCATTTTCATGAAGATACTTCGAAACATCCAAATGACCATTTTTGGCAGCAGCTCGGCACGCCGAGTCATCCCATGGACAACCTTGTTGATGAGCGTACTTCAAAATGTCAAGATGCCCTCCTTCAGCAGCAGCCGTACACACCTGAGAGTCCCAGGGGCATACATTTTCATGAAGATACTTCAAAACATCCAAATGACCATTTCTGGCAGCAGCAGAGCATACCCAATCATCAATTGAAATCCTTCCTCGTGTGCCCATTGCACAACAGGTGCACTTCCCACCTTGGCAATTAATTCGCAAATTCGGTCACGAAAGGGAGTTGGGCGTCTGTCATTGTCCACATCCCAGTATTTGGCACAGGAGACGTTGAAGAATGCAGCTCTGTCACTGGTTGTATGACTAGGACCACCGACAGAATCACAGTAAGCCTTGTAGAGTTGGTTGAACAGTTTTTTGACTCCTCCCACAAAGGCATAGTGTCCTACACCCAGAAATGGCAAGATGTTGCCCGTACAAATGTCTTTTTGCTCCAACAACTTTTCAATTGGAGGGGGCAATCGTTGCTTTTTGTTAGCAGCAGTGATAGCAGCAGTGATAGCACTGGTGGCACCGTTTGCCGGATCAAATGAAGACATGGTCAATGTCGATCTATGGCAGGTACTACCAGGCACCTGGTGATAGTATAAAGGTACGGTACATGTACCTCCTTCAGTGCCACCAACAAAGCGCCGATAATTTCCTTGCTCGATCTAAACTGCCATTTCACAACTTGAAAGCGCCAGTAAAAGCCAATTGTTTGGCCAATCTGGAACTTTGCAGCGCTGATGGCTTTTACGATTTATCTCAATCCCTAATCGTAGATCTTGGACGAATGCCAAGGAAAGAAAGAGCGGCGAGATCCACCATGGCCGTCGTCCTCGGTTTTCACAGTCTCCGTGAACAGAAAGCCATATCAAATATTCGTTAGACGACCTACTCTCGTGGACTTTGAAGATGATGAGCTCTACTACTAGTACATTCGGTGCTCCTCTGATGAGACACTCGGAGGGACAGGTGGTCCTTGGAGGAAGTGGCGAAGATGCCGTTTTCAAACCTGCGGATTACCCTGGTCGCGAACAGCCCTATGAACACCGCTTTTCGCCCTATGATTTCAATGGTGGAACCGTCGCTGGTGTCTCGGGCGAAGACTACTTGGTGATTGCTGCCGATACGCGAATGAGTTCTGGCTACGAAATCTTGTCACGCAACACGTCCAAGTTGCATCAACTCAACCCCAACGCCATCCTGGCCAGTTCAGGCTGCAAGACCGATATGGACCAGCTTCGATCTGTGTTGGATATCAAGAGCAAGGTGAGAATTTTGTAGCGTGGGGGAAAGTGAAGAATTGAGATGATATCGGTGGGGAAAGAGGCTGAAAAGAATCCAATCCAACTCAGTGTTGTCTGTTTGTTCTCTCCTCTCAAATTTCTGTCAAACCAACTTTTACACTGTAGATTTACCAGCACAATCATCGCAAATCCATGACGGCAACCTCCACTGCTCAGATGCTGAGTAACACTCTGTACGGCCGTCGATTCTTTCCCTATTACGCTTTCAACGTTCTGGGAGGAATCGACGCCGAAGGCAAGGGATGCTTGTTTTCCTACGATGCCATTGGTAGTTTTGAACGCACCCAGTACTCGGCCACTGGATCGGGACAGGCCTACGTGATTCCCTTTTTGGACAATGTCATTGGAAACCGCAACCACACCGAAGAGAAACCTACACTCTCCAAGGAAGAGGTGGTGGAATTGATGAAGGAAGCCTTTGTGTCAGCAGGAGAGCGGGATATCTACACAGGAGATGCCCTGGAAATCATGGTCATGACCAAAGACGGGGTCACCAAAGAAACCTTTGAGCTCAAGAAGGACTAATTTGGATCGATTTACTACTAATATAGATGTATAGCATCATTACAAGATGTGATTGTAACTTACATCTATATTACCAGTTGCATCTCACCTTTTCTAGCTACCTGGTAGCCAGCCAGCCAACGCAAATTTGTAGACTAAGATTTCTCATCCAGTGGATTCTCTCCAATGGATGGATTCCTTTTCCTGACCGAAGACTAAGTATCATCTCGCGTTGACATGTGTTTCCTGACCAACTCTCGGTCCGCCTCCTCCACAGCTCGAAGCTTGCGAAGCAACAACAACCGAGGACGATGAATGCTGGGATCGTAGTGGGTTGTGGGTGATTCCGTGTCATTTTCTATTTCGGGGATTTCAATCCATTCCAGAGAAAGCAACGGCTCTGCACTACCAGTGGCTCTCACAACATTCAAGAATCGAACTAGAGAGTTTCCACGGTTCGGCTGGCACATGTAGATACAACCATGAATGGCAACTCCATACACCAGCGTCAACAAGAGATGGCCATGATACTCTTGAAAGTGCGTGCAATCGGAAACAAGAGCCACATGACATGGAGGGATTCTCTCTTCTTCTCGTGGCGGATCCATGGACCAAGGCAAAACGAGGCATTTCACGACGGGTGCGTTGTTGGGAAATCTCAACTGCATCAAATGAGCATGCACTTGATTGTTTTTGGCGGCTTGGGGGTGCCCATCCGTGAGCCACAGACGAAGCTGTTTCTTGGGATTCCTCTGTTGCAGAGTTTGAGCCAGTGAGAGACCAGCCAACCCTGCCATGCCAGCACCCAGTTCCAGAATATGAAGTGGATTGTTGTTGTCGTCGTCATGGTTCCACCACGGCAATGGTTGTTGCAATGCCAAGTGTTTCATCAATGTGTATGCCAAGGTTTTTTCACAATCCCACACGCAGACATTGGAAGTATTGTCGATTCCATCATGGTGATGGTGACTGACGAGCTCCTGAAGTGATGTTTTGGTGGTTCCGAGACGCTCTCTTGTGAGCAGTAGGGTCGAATTATCGTCTTTGTCTTTAGTGTCGTCTTGCTTCCTATCGTCAAACAGTGGCAGAGAATAGCAAAAAATGCCACAGCTGGGAAAGAATGGAGCCAATACTATTTTCAGTGTCAAGCAGGTGTTTGTGGTTTCTGAGAATACATCAGGAGATTTTTCAGCATCGATCCAACCAGATCCCTTTCCAAGACGAATTCTCAGCTTTGGATTGTCGCTACTTCGCTGCAACCTCTGGTCGAGCCGTTCCAGCACCTTTTGGATGTTGAGTTTGCATTGAAATTGGATGAGGAATTCCCAAATCCACTTATCCGATCGCAGTGCCGACAAGGCCAGCAGAGACAGCTCCAGCTTGACGACAAGATCTTCCTCTTGGTTGGTAGTGTCCTCCAAGACGATTGGCCTGGTTAGGAGATTGACCATTTCAGGCACCTTGCTTCGCGGTATCCTCCCGCGGGGAAGAAGATTAAAGCCTGGAAATTGATGGATACTGCCCTCGGCTGCCCCCGAATGTGTCATCGAAGTATCACGGATTTTGGAGGAGGTATACCCTTCTTTGGACGACGCATTTTTCACAATGGCATTTCGCAGTAGGGCCCATCGGGCGTTGGACCTCTGCTTCGACTCCTTGGCAGCCTTCGCGTCGTCATTGTCGCTTTTGCTTTCGTTGTCTTGAGCAATCTCCTTGCTACTAATCTCAGCTCTGATCATTGCAGAGGATCCTCCATCATTGTCTGGTGCTGACTGTACGGCAGCTTGGAGATCTGTGCTGTCTGTGGTCTTCTTGGCCATGGTCAACCATCCAATGATCGACGGGGGTTCAGTGGCAGAGAATGAGATGGAAAGAAACGGTCACACCCCAGAAACGCAACGGCTCTCAACCGAGAACCCCACCCGAATTCCACGTTCCACAGCGTGGATTGGCAGGCACAAGCGTTCACAGGGCTAAAGTGATGCTACGATGTATCCAGGTTTTAAAAGTTAGGCGAAGCCATCATTAGGCTCTATCTCACCGGGCAGGGTACCGGTATGCCATAACTATTTCTTCACCTCCGATATGCCGCTGGTGAAGAAGATTTAGCTGCTTCCGACTGAACATGGGCGCTTTGCAAAACTGGCCCAAGGGTCTCAATGGCGTCTCTATCGCAAGCTCCCAACCTACTCAGAAGATTCTTTCCTGCGGCATTGCTGTTGTTGGAGCGTTTGAAACCAGAATTGGCAATGGCATGCCAAAATGCCGAGTCCAGCCTCTTTCTCAACATCACAATATGGGCTGCAACCTCCGAGTCGCATTGAAAGATGATCCAGTCGTCCAAGGTCAAAATTGACTTTGAGTTGTTATCATCTCCAGAGGGTTTCATTGTTTCGTCATCTTCTGGTTCATGTACACGGCAGGGGCGCACATTCAGCGATGTACCGCAAAGAAGCAGTAAAGGAAGTGGAGAGGATAAGTGTGTCGTTTGATTGACGGTGAAAAACTGTGCAGTTCCCTTGACCATTTCTCCAAAGCACACAAACTCGAGTTGGCCCTTTGGTGCCTCGCTCTTGGCATTCAGAGGTTGGCCTTTGACGGCATTGACACTACTGATATGCACTTTGACTTTTTGGTTCGTCCTGGTGGAAAAGTTGACGTCTCCGCGTTTGCGCAAGGCAACGTTGGGATACAGACCCGCCGCAATTGCAGCGTGCCAAAGAGCGTGCTCATTGTCGTGTCGATTGTGATAAGGAAGCTGCTGGCCGGCTCCTCGGCTGATGTTCCCACGACCACCCCCACCTCTCCGTTGGTTTGGTTGTCCTGTCAAAGCAGGGCTGGGAAAACCAAGCATTGACAGCTCGCGTGTGAGGTTCTTCCGTACCTCCGATATCATCTGGATTACGTTGACGCCAATAAAGTTCTTTCTACAGAATTCAGCAAACGATTGTTGTCTCCCATTGGCTCTCATCAACTCGGCCCGCTTTTCCAGCAGGTAGTGGACAGTCAATTGATCACTTTCGCTTCGATAACTGAGTTGAACCTTTGCACCATCTGCTGCTTTTCGTTGATGAGGTGGTGGAAGGGTGAACGGGCTCTTGTAACTCATGGCAACGGCCATGTCTGCAGCGACTCGAGCGCACCCTAACAGGTATGACCATACAACCATCTTTCCAACCCTAGGCTCGAGACTCAGCATTGCCAGACACTCTCCGAGATCTGTCAAATTGTTCGTCTCTGGCTGCATGGCTCCCAAATCTACTAGCAGCTCCAGCGCATTCGAAATAGATCTAGCATGAGGTGCGCTCATTGCTTTTGCCAGAAATGCAGGAATGTCGCAGGAGGGGAACAACTGTTTGGTTTGGAGACAGATCTCTTCCTGCAAGATGAAATCCGATGGTTGAGAGCCACATTTCACACATTGAACCCTGCGCAAATCAAACTTACAAGTGGTGTCCGCAGGAGCTCACTATCCACAAAAGGACGCATGGATTGGTGCCTTCTCTGGCTAAAAAGATGGAAGCACACTCCCCGTTTCACACGCCCCGCACGTCCCTTACGCTGTTTGGCCGAAGCTGCACTGATCCAGGTTGGTTGTAATGTACTTGTTTTCAAATGTGGGTCATAGCTCTTCTCTTTGGCGCGCCCAGAATCAACTACAAAAGAGATGTCGTCAATTGTCAATGATGTCTCTGCCAGCTGCAACAGGAAACATGGGGTGTTAGGTGAGATGTGCAAGATTTCAAGAGCTTCACTTGAAACATGTCTTACATTGGTTGCCAACACAATTTTCCGAATGCCCGTCGGTGGCCTGGATAATACTTTCCGCTGAGCTTGAACAGGAACTCCACTGTGTAAAGGTAACACCCAATATTTGTTCCGATTTGAAAATGGTGGGGTGCTCTCGAGAAGTACCGTGCATTCCGAAATTTCTTGCCAACCCGGAAGAAACACAAGAATTGCACCATCACCGTATGAGGATTGACAAATATATCTTATTGTTTCCAAGAGCAGGAAGTTGTCAATCTGCGCATCGTCGTGTGAGGCCTGATACTGCTTGAGGATTGCCTCTTCTCGTTTCGTTACGACCACTTCGCCCTCGCCCACTTCGGTTGCTTCGAGATTCGCTGGGAAAGCACTTTGCCCGTCCCATTTTTCTGTTCCAGGGTCGTCGGCCGCTTCAGCTTCTGATTCGTCGCTATTGCTGGAAGCATCGGCTTGCCCGTTAATCTCGAACTCGAAGTCATCTAGCTCGTATTCACCGTCAACGTCATAGTCTTCAAACTTCATATTCTGAAGCAAGTCGCCTTGATCGGGCTGTTCCTGTTTGCCCACATTGTTCCCACCAAAAGAAGGTGCCGACACCTGTTTATCACCTGCTCCGGGGTCGAACGAGTCATCGTCCCCGCCGCCATCACAAAGCGCTAGATGAGTACCAAGTTCTACGGCATCCTTGAAATCTTTTCTTCTGCAAAGAACACATCTCAGCTTTGGATGAACCTTTGTCTGTTCTGGTTGAATTTCTGATTTCGTGAAGGCCGCCAACTCTCTCTCAAGTTGGTCGTCCGTCATCGTTGCAATGCCTGTTTGCACCTTTCCTTCGATTTCATCTTCTGTAACGGAAATGAAACCGGTCATGTCCAAGACATGTTCCAGGAAGAACTCTTGGACCGGAAACATTCTTCCTTCCATTTCGACCCTTGCGGGCGCTTTCGTGCTATCATTGTTGGCTAAGAAGTACTCCACCAGTTTCTCTGTTTGCAGTGTAGCACTCATGAGGATAAGTCGCAGATCCGGTCTTTGTGGCAGGAGATCGCGGAGTACAATGAGGAGGAACTCTTGATACTGGTCTCTCTCGTGAACTGTGCGCGATGAGTTGACGGGGGGAAGACGACTGAGCTTGGCGACTCCCTGATGATCGCAAGCAGGCAACCAACGGAATCATTTCACTTACCTTCATCCATGATGATGTGCGTGTACTCTTGAAGATAGGGATCTCTTTGTAGATGTCTCAAAAGGACACCAGGAGTCATAAACATGAGCTGTGTCTTATCGCTCTGGCTGGATTCTGGAAGTTTCATTATCAAAAGTGTGAGGATGGCAGCATATCATGAAAACGGTAAAGACGTCAACTGCTCGTGCGTACCAAGTCTAACCTTGAACCCAACCTGTCCACCAGTTGTTGTTTGCAACTGTTCGTACGCCACGCGCTCGGCAATAGAGATTGCAGCAATTCTGCGCGGCTGTGTAACAACAATGTTGCTGGTGGGATTGGCATCGAGGACGAACTGAGGTACCTGCGTCGATTTGCTGTACCACCAGAGTTAAGTTGGTTGAAAAAGTGTGAGAGATTGTCTCCATTCAGTTGGAAATGCTTAGTACATCATCTGCCTTACCCACAACCGGTATCCCCACTGATGATGGTAACCTGGTGTTCATTTACTTTCTTAACGATTTCGTCTTGGTGCTTCGAGGCTGGCAGCTGCGCCCTCATGTTCATCATAGCCTGTAATGCTTCCTGGTTAGACTTCTTCTGTCGCTGTGCTGCTTCGTGATGCTGTTTCCGACGTTCCAGGTCTATCGGTTTGACACTGTGTTTGTATTGTTTCTTGTTGTCTTTGTCATTGTTGACTTGTAGGCCCATTTGGCTGAGTGCATCCTTCACTGCATCATTGTTGTCTTTGTTGTTTTGCATGGCGTCAACCAATGACGATCCAGTATCTCTGGACTCCTGGGCTTCAATTTTGCTCGGAGGATGCTTTTGAAAATGTTGTTGCAGTGCTTTGATTCCCTTGTCGCCGATTCTTAAGGATGGAATACCGGACAAATCGTCGCCGTCCTCTGCAGTATTTTTGGCATTGTTTTTGGAAGGGTATATTGCTATTCTTCTACTTTCGCCTTTGCCCGAAGACTTGGAGTGCAAGCCTAGCTGCGAAGCTAACTGATGGATGAACTTTCGCTCAGTGTTTGTCAGGGTCGGCGGAAACTCGACTTTTGGAATGGGGTCTGTGGATTCCCAATGACTTTCCCGTAGAGCCAACAACATTTGTGTGAAGCGAATCCGATCGGCTTCTTCAATGGTGAAAGCTTCAGCTCCCTTCTCACCGTTTTTCTTGACGGGACCTTGAGGTTTCGTGGGTACCGGTTTCTGTGGCTGTTGCCAATTTGGCTGTCGGTTGGGTGGATTGTATGCCGGCTGGGATGTTGCTTCGCCAGTGCCATCATAGCGCTGACTCCGACCTCTTCCTCTTCCTCCTCTTCCACCAGTGCCACGACCTGATCGTCCTCTTCCTCCTCTTCCCCTTCCACGGCCCCGACCACGGCCCGGTCTTCTCCCTGAGCCACGAGAAGCCTCGTTACTCATCACAGCCGTTGCAAACAGGAAATTGACACTGGGGTATGTGATATGTGATGGGGTAGTATTGTTGTCTTCGTTCTCAAACTGGCTTCTCTTTCAATACCTCTACTTGCTACTAGCTAGGCTTATTATTTACACTACCGTGGTAGCAGGTGGCCAAAAGCCAAAATCTTTTATGCCACAGCGAACTCAGCGTTCAGGGATGGGATGGGCAGGTAAACTTGCTGACGACTTGCTCTTGTTGAAAACATGCGCTTCTTCGGTGCCCGCTTGGTGAGGAAATGTGCGACCGTACTGACGTCTTTGGGTTGGCCTTTTGACCGCCCTCCGGAACCCATGCATACGAGGATGCATTTCTCGTCGTCCCTTTCAATAATACGGTACAAGGCAACTATACAGCCGTAGCTTTATAGTATTAGAAAAGTATAGGGAAGTCACTATAGTTAGGCTTTGGACTGGTGTTTGTGAAGGCTACCATTTGTTGTGCAACTTGATAGGAACCTTTCCCATGTTCGTTCCACAACACAAAACACTGCATAGGGGATTATTTCGAGTATGGGCAATGCCAGGTCTCAACCATGTTTTCTTCGTCATTGATTCGAGATAAAATTACTGGGCTCCGTTGGTGAAACCATTGCACAAGATGCTAAAGGCGGCACCTCCCGCATTGTAATCCCACCTGTTCCTGACACCTGTCATCACCTGGTTATTCGGGCATTCCAGCGTGGCGCTGGAGCCCGCTCCTCGAAATCCTGAAAAGAAATCATGAGAATACTGAGCACCAGCATTGACAACAGCTCCTCCTTGGTCAAGGATGTTGTATGATCTGATTGCACTGAGTATAAGTGCATCGAAGAGACGATTGTGAGGAAAGAGGAAAAGGGTGCAGCTGAAAGTGCATGTAAGGAGAACATCCTGTAACTTACCTGCATTGGATTTTGTAGGATCTATTCGAGCCAGAGTTGGTGTATGCGGATTCGAATCCAGTAATGACTTTGCCGCCAGGGCATGAATAGACAAAGTCGTTTCTCAGCCAGCCACTCCGTCCGGTTGCAGTTGTGGTAACTCCAGCGGGCAACCCCAGCTCGACGAATTTGAATGCTTTGTCCTTGGAGCTGTGATCATAGGTGAAAACAATGCCTTTGAAGACTGCGCTGTTGAGGGTCCAGTAGACAAAGTTCCTCGTGTAGTCGTTGATGTGTGGTGTGAGCTTGCTCGTGCCAGGGGTTGGCTTGCCCCTGACAAGACCACACATAATTTTAAAAATCCTACGTGTAGGAAAGAGTTCGATGCGGTGAAGACAATGTTAGACCTGTCCCTCGGAGTTGCTTCCCACTTTCTCTCTGTCGCAACAATCTCCCTTACCTGTCTCTTGAACCATTGTCGTGAATTGACTCCATCTGAAGCATAACATGATTTCGGGGGCAGTTGTAGTTCAGCGACTGCCGCGGATCGAGATGCACGAAAAGGCGATGAGTGAGCCGAATGCTGCCAACAAGATAATTTAGCAATTTGCTGACTTACCTCGCCATAGTTGTTGAGGACTGGGAGATCCGCCCACCCATTCGTCATTTGCAAGCCCGATGGCTTCCAGCCGTAATGAGCTATATCCATGTTCGCAAAGCTTGCACATTTGACCCTAAACTGCCTGTCCTGGGCTTGGTAGTTGTATTTTGTTGACATGCCAACAATTGCCTTTCCGGCGGGGCATCCAATCCAAAAGTGCTCGTCAAGCCCTGTCCACTGGCCGTTGTTACCGTACTCTACATTCTCCATGTGGTTGGGGTCTCTAAAGTCCGCAATGATTGAGTAGTAGTGCTTGGAGACGCAGGGAAAAAGGGGTACGTGAGCATCTAGCCGCCATTGCGATGGCGTTGCGATGGGCATGACAAGCAATTCCTTCACTCACTTTGTCAATATTCGTGCCGTCGTTGGAGAAATCACCACGCAGGCCTTCGAAGAAAGAAAATGGGTATATCATCAGATGTGCATGCTCAATTACGAAGCATCGGGACAGTGGAGGTATACATGTACTCACCCGTGTAAACCCAGGCGTTGCTGAGAATGCTTTCTTCGATTCCGTCAGGAACACTGGCAAATCTATGGTGTCCACCACCAACTAGTTCGGGGTAATGGGCTGTCGTTTTCTGACTTGCTAGCTCCCCAACCGATGTGACGTGCTGCGTACCCGAAGGCACGTCACACTGCCCCACTTCCTGGCAATAACCAGAAAGAGCACTCTTGAGCGCTTCCAACACTTTGGTTTTCCCGTTGAAGACATCGAGGTCCACGATGGCCTGAACCTCGATGTACGTGGGCAAAGGATTCTTAGACGAATCCTGCAGCCATTGGTTGATGTCACCGTTTACCGGTGGCTTGGCTCCTCGAGAGTAGACAGAACGCTGGGTAGTCTTCTTGCGGAACTCGCTGGCAGCAGCGTTTTTCGTCGTGAGGCTAGCATCAACGCTGCCCGAAGCAATCCAACCACTCATTGTTGCTTGCACCGTTATGTCATTTCCTTGAGAATCTTTCTGACTCGCAGCTTCCTTGCTCAGGAAACTCTGTTCTCCAAATAGCGACCCCATGGTCGCCTTGCTGACATAGTGTGTGCCAAAGTTTTGGACGAAAAGCCGAACTTCCTGCCTCAGCCTGTCGCTGTCATTCTGGACATCTGTCATCCTTTTCACGGCAGCCAAAAAGTTCTGGGAATACGGAGGCATGTTGTACGCCTGAAGCTCAGCTTGATAGACACAGCAGGATACCTACAAACAAGGACACACGAAGGACAAGACAACACCACAAGTGAGAAAACAAGGATCACAGCCACAGAACCCTTCCCAAGTTGCATGTAGTGCTCACCTCCGATTCTGTGGAGACTTCGTGTTTGTTGAAGAATCTGTCAGTAGATGATTGGTAAGCTTGGGAAGCAGAAAAAGAACCTTTCATGAAGAATCCTCCGACCCGGCCTTGTACAGAGACTTTGGCGGAAAGAGAGTTGACATAAGCTTGCGAGGTGTCAAGGACTCTGGTGCTGAAATCCATGTTGCACCCCTCGCATTCAAGAACGTTGATGCTCTTCGGGGTGTAATGCTCGAGATCAGGCATTAGCTCATACCCGGTCGAGGACACGTCAAAAATGGGCTGACGGTAACCGTGGTCAACATTGGCCATCCCACTAGTGTCTAGCGGGTTACCCTTGACAGTGTCATAACCGCGCAAGATGTACCCAATGTTGTTGACAACGGACTTGCCACTGTCCAGTGTCGAGGCTGTTTGGAGGTCGCGTCCTCGGAGGGAGCTTCGAGCCTTTGTCAAAGCCGCAGCAGCCGTCCGCAATGAACAAAAGTAGGTGTCAGAGGGTGGCCAGCAAAAGGATGTCAAAGTCGATTGAACCATTCGATCGTACTTACAACAGTGCTGTTGGAAGGCAGAAAAAAGGAGGAACTGCGGTTCGTGGTGGCGCCAACAACTGGTTGGAGGGCAGCAGCGAACACAATGGCAAAGGAGAACTTCATGGCGTTGCGATGGAATAAGCAGAAAATGGTTTTGGTTGAGACGATTGGAGCTTGATAAATGGAATGATTTGTGAGATTGTGAGAAGCATCAGTATCTTGTATCGTTCAGTCTGTTTCGATGATCAACGCTTCAGCCTGCAGCCACCTGAATGGTTTGGATACATCACGTAGCCTTGATACAGTACCGTACCATGCAGGCCCTGTCACACATTTATAAATCCATCCCACCAGTCCAGATGATGGTTTAAGAGTTCAATGCTCGAAAGTGGTCTGTGCAGAATGCAAGACAAAAGTAGCTAGTTGTATGAAGTTTCCGGTCTCTTCGCCTACCGGTATGCTTCATGGCTCATGCGATCATTTGTGGTAAACGCCATGCCGATGCTCCTATGTATGTTGATGTTCCAAAGCCTCGGGAAATACCTCTCGGGACCTTGGGCTGCTTATTATCATCTTTGTTGGTCGGGATGTCGGGATCTCGATGGTGGCCCATTCACAGTTCGTGCGAATGGCCTGCTGTTTTTGTTGCTCAACTCTAACCCTACCGTTTGATCCAAATAGATTCTATTCGTTCTATTCGGCTTTTTTTCAGCGTTTCCTCAGTTTGCTGGCTACTTGGATCCATATGACGAATACATGCAATCCAGCCATTGTAGCCAGCTACGGTACCGTAGGCAGAGAGTTACATCGATCCGTGACAGCGGCAACAGTACCAAACACACTCAGGTTCCGCTTTACTAGCTACACTCCGTTACCGGTACCTTGCATTGGATCCTTATGACGAATACATGCACAACCGAACATTGTCAATCCAGCCATCGTAGCCAGCTACCGTAGAGTTCATCGATCAGTGACAGTGGCAACAGTACCGAACACACTCAGGTTCGACTTTGCTCACTGCACTCGGTTACCTCGCATTGGATCATTATATG